GGCCCGCGTGGAGCTCGCCGAGCGCCTCGCGGCCGTACTTGACGAGCAGGAGCGTCGACGGCTGCTGGAAGTTGACCGTCACGCGGCGGCCCATGGACACGCTCTCGGAGAGCGCGAGCGCCTCCTCGAGGAGCGCGCCCGCGGAGAGCACGCGGAGCCGGAACCGGTCCGCGAGGCGCGCCGCCTGCTCGCTCTTGCCGCTGAACGTGCGCCCCGCGAGGCAGATGCGCAGCGGGAAGCTCGGCACGGGCCCATGGCGCGTCGCCGCGCCGAGGCTGCTCTCGTACGCGTTGATCGTGAGCACGTTCGTCTTGTGCGCCGCGGCGGAGCGGCAGTCCAGGATGGCCTCGCCCAACGCGTGCTGGACGCAGCGCCGGACGCCCGCGGCCTTGGCCTCGGCGCACCGCGCGCCGTAGGCCGCGACCGCTCGCTCCGACGCCTCGAGCCCCGCGCGCGAGCCCGGCGCGAACTCGCCGGCCCAGGGGTCCGGCGGGATCAGCGCCTCCTCGGCGAGCTCCTCCTCCGTCTTCGGCGGCGCCGCGGCCGCGGCCTCCTTGGCCGCGGCCTCCTCGGCGGCGAGCCGGCAGAGCGCGGGGCCGCAGACGGCCGGGTCGTCCAGGGCCGCCGTCTCCACGTCCGCGAGCTTCTGCGAGAAGCGCAGCGGCGGCGCGTTGAGGACGTACTCGTCGACGTCGAGGGCGTCGAGGTGGGACGCGACCTCCTCGGGCTCCGCGGGGAGCGGCTCGTCCGCGGGGATCGGCGGCCAGTGCGCCGGCCCCGTCTCCGGCACGACGGGCACGACGGGCCCGAGGCGCAGCGACGTGTGGTCCGCGAGGGACGTGCGCGCGTCGACCCAGGCCATGCTCGACACGCCGCTGGGCTTGGGCTCGTCCGCCGGCGGCACGCCGAAGGCGACGATGGGCCGCTCCAGCGTCGCGAAGACGCGCTTCGCGTCGTGCCACGGCGGCAAAGCCACGGGGTCGCCCTCCTTCTCCGCCAGGGACTTGGTCGCGTGGAAGACCATGCCCTGCTGCACGGGCGCGGGCCGCTCCACGTCCCGCAGGTCCGCGATCTCGAGGGACAGCGCGACGACCCGATCCAGCACGTCCGCGCAGAGCTCGACGGCCGCCTGGCGCTTCGACGACGCGCGCGCGTCGACGCCCGTCGACGCCGACGCGATCTTCACGTCCAGATCCAGCGCGTAGGAGTCGACGTGCGCGTCGAGCCGCGCCTGGTCGCGCTTGAGCGTCTCCTCGAGGTCGATGTCGCGCCGCGTGTTGTACTGCGCGGCGCGGAACGCGCGGCTCTCCGCCATGCGCGCGCGGTGCCGCGACACGAGCGCCAGCCGCGACGTCAGGGCCCGCTCCGCCGTGCAGCGCCGCGTCAGCTGGGCCTGGAGGTGCGCCGCGGCGTGCGCGTGGTACTCGACGACCTGCGCGCCCTCGCGCTCCGTGATGTAGCGCCGGCGCCGCTGCTCGCGCTCCGCGGCGCCCGCGTCGCGCTCCGCGGTCGCCTCGCGCCGCGCCCGGTTCTGGGCGTCGCACTCGACTTGCAGGGCGCGGTTGTCCAGGACGACGTCGCGCGTCGCCGTGTTGCCGCCGACGCCGACGCCGATCTCGACCGTCGGCGCGACGGACCGCGAGTACTGGCTCAGCGGGTCGTCGCGGTCCACCTCCTCGAGCTCGTCGAAGGCGTCCGGCGCCGAGGCCTTGGCCGTGGCGTCGCGCGTCGCCAGGCGGCGCTCGAAGCCGTCGACCTCGGACTTCATCGCCGCGCACTCGGCCTTTCGCGCGCGGAGCCGGCGCATGGACCCGTCGTCCGCCAAACGCGCGATGGTCCGCGCGCGCTGCGCCTTGCGGTCGAAGGCGCGCTGGCGGTTCGCCGCCCAGTGCTCGAGGCCCCGCGCCTCCCAGGACGCGAGGAAGGCCGCCTCCTGCTGCCGCTGGTAGATGCGCGACGCGCGCGACGCCTCGAGCTGGCGGCCGAGCTCCTCGACGGCGGCCTCCTTCTCCCGCAGCCGCGCGTTCTCCATCTTCTCCGCCTCGTCCTCGAAGCGCCGCAGGTGGCGCTTCATGAGCACGTCGTTGGGGTTGTCGGCCCGCAGCCGCACGGACGCCTCGAAGAGCCGCGCGCGCGCGCCGTCGAACTGCGGCTTGCTCGGCCGCGCCGGCAGGTTCGGCAGGGGCTGGACGCCGTCGCGCGACGCGTGGAGGCTCACGGGCGTCGCGAACTTGACGAGCTTGTCGAGGGCGATCTTGAGCTGGTAGAGCACCATCGCCGCGGAGCCCGGCGTCGCGCGCATGATGCCGTGCGCGACGTTCGCGTCGAACCTCACCCCGAGCTTGCAGAGCGCCGGCTCCAGGAGGCAGAAATTCTGGATCTTGCTGTCCGCCGTGTCGCGCCGCCGCAGCTTGTGGTGCTGCGGCAGCTGGTTGTGCCGGTGGAGGAGCGCGCCGAGCACGAAGCCGCTGCTCAGCTCGCCGGCGAGCGTCGTCTCCGTGAGCGGCGGGTCGAGCTGGAGCTCCTCGTTGACCCAGCCGATGAGGATGGACGTCATGGTCGAACGCCGCCCCGCCGGGCCACGGCCCACGGGGACTAGCGGCGCGCGTCAAAGACGATGGGCGCTCGTTATCTCGATGGCTGCCGGCGCGTATCGATAGCGTCCTGTATCTTCACCTTGATGGTAGCCGTTGCCGCCTGCTCGGGCGATCGCAAAGCGTAATGGCCGAAGCCGACGTCGAGGACCTCGCGTCGCGGGCCTCGCAGCTCGCGACGCGCGTCTCCAACCGCGCGGGCGCCCTGCGCGACGACGGCGACGACTGGGCGCCCTGCGACGACGACGACGCGTCCTACTTTGTCCTGAAGCAGGAGCTCCTGACGTCCTACTGCGCGCTCCTGAGCTACTACGTGCTGCGCAAGGCCAAGGGCCTGTCCGTCGCGGACCACCCCGTGCTCCAGCGGCTCTACGAGCTGCGCGTCGTCTTCGAGAAGCTGCGGCTGCTCGACCCGAAGCTGCGCCACCAGCTCGACAAGGTCCTGAGCCGCGCGGACTCGGACGCCGCGGCGCTCCGCGCGGACGCCGCGGCCCTCGCCGCGAGCGCCGACGCCGCCGCCGCCGCGCCCGACGCGGCCGCCGGCGAGGCCGGCGACGGCGTCTACCGCGCGCCGCGCCACGCGGCCGCGCGCTACGGCGGCGGCGGCGGCGACGACGACGACGACGACTCGGACGGCGACGGCGCGGCGCCGCCGCCGCCGCGCGAGGACGCCTCGGGCGAGCGCACGCAGCGCAACACGCGCGCGCGCCGCGCGGAGATCGCGCGCCTCGTCCGCGCGGACGCGGACCAGCCCGAGCTCGCGAGCTCGGGCGGCGTCCACGACGCGCTCGGCACGGGCAAGAAGGCCGCGAAGCGCGACCGCCGCCGCAAGGAGATGCAGGAGCAGGAGAAGTTCGAGGAGGACCGCTTCATGCGCGTCGACACGAACAAGAAGCTCAAGAAGAAGCGCAAGACGGCGGACTTCGCGAGCTCGCTCGACGACCTCTTGTAGTAACTAAAAGGCTTCGCTTTCTCTCACGCTCAGCCCTCCTAGCGGCCGGCTCGATCGACATCGACGGACGCCTCGGACCGACGGACGGGTTCAACGTGCGCGCTCCGAGCGAATGATTGAAGCTCGCCGCGGACGACGTCGAGCTCGCGCCAAGCCCAGCGTCAATCGAGTGTGCGGTCGCCCGCGCCGCGACCCGACGACCATGGCGGTCCGCATCGTCGTCGCCGCCGCGCTCACCGCGGCCCTATCGAGTGCCTTGCGGCCGAGCCGACCACACCTGACGGCGCGCGCGACGGTGCTCGGGAGCGAGCTCGCCGAGACGAAGAGCGAGTCGACGGCGCTCGCCGTGGGCCTGCCCAAGGTCATCACCATCGACCCCTGCGAGCTCCTCGTGGAGTCGAGCGTGCCCGTGAGCCTCCTCTACCGCGACGCGCTCCTCGTCGCGACGGGGCTCATGCTGCCGCGGCCCGACGTCTTTCAGGACGCGTTCGACGCGGCCAAGGCCGCGGCGCCGCCGAGGTTCGGCGCGGGCGTGGAGCGGTCCGACACCTGGTGGCGCCGCGTGACCCTGGCGACCTACGACGCCGTCCTCCGCAACGGGCTCTACGACGACGACGAGCTCGCGGCCTTCGACAAGGCCTTCGACGGCCTCTTCGACGAGCTCCAGGGGTCCCTGCTGGTCGGGCCCGAGGCCTGGGACGTGGCGCCGGACGCGCCGCGGCTGCTCGCCGCCCTGCGCGAGTGGCGCGACCTCGGCGGCGGGCCGCGCGTCGCGGCCGTGTCGACGTCGTTCGACGAGCGGCTGCCGGCGCTCCTCGAGAACCTCCTCGGCGCCGACGTCGTCGCGTCGACCTTCGACTTCGTCGTGTCCGCGACCGAGGGCGACGCGTCGCCCTTCGAGGCCGCGGGCGCGAAGCACGGCGTCGACGACGCCGCGTGCGTCCACGTGTCGCGCGCGCCCGCGCCGGGCTGCCCCTGCCCGGCGCTCCTCGTCGACACGGGCGAGCCCGTCAACGAGCTCCGCCACCCGGAGGCCCGCACGTCCCTCCTCGACCTCCTCGACGACTGGAACCTCTCCCGCGAAGACGGCGACGACATCGTCCTCACGAGCCGCGCGTACTCCGTCTACGACGCGGAGCCCGTCAAGCGCGAGGGGCCCCAGAACCCGCTCTGCGACCCGTGAGGACCAGCACATAGAAGCCCCCCCTAAGACCACGATCCCACTCCCGGTTTCTCGCGCGCGACTCGGGCCGCGCCGCGATCATCGTGCTTCGCGGCGGCGGTCTCGCGCGCAGCGCCGACCTTCCTTCTTCGTGGTTTTTCGCATCGGCAGTCTACGTGGCATGGAGGGGGCTACATGGTGACGGCGCCTCGGAGGCGCAACATCACCTTGAACTACAACATGCCATTCAACATGTCCACCTCAGCCCCATCGATGCCTGCATGCTCTTCGTAGCGGTAGCGACGCGCTCTTTCGCTCTGCGTGAAGCGCAAACGCGCCCAGTTCGCTGTCGGAGACGTCGACGGCGGCTCGGTGCCTGAAGCCTTCATCTCCAGCGCGTGAAGTGCTGCGTCGCCCGCCGTGCCGTCGCGTAGCGATACATGCGGTGACGCGCCGCCGCCACCGATGTCGGAGGCGCCGCTCTGGCAGGCCGTCGTCTGCGGCTGCGCCGGCGGGGGAGGCGCGACGCTCGTGGGGCATCCCCTCGAGACGATGAAAGCCCGAGTCCAGATGGGCCTCCCGAGCTGGCCGGGGCTCCGCGGGCTCTACGTGGGCCTCGCGGCGCCCATCCTGGGCAACGTGCCCTTCTGGGCCTGCTACTTCGCGAGCTACCGGGCCGCGCAGCGGCACGTCGCTCCGTACTTCGGCGACGACACCGCGGCCGCGCAGCTCGCCGTCGGCGCCGTCGCCGGCGCCGCGTCGGCCGTGGCGCTGACGCCCATCGACGCCGTCAAGGTCACGGCCCAGGTCGACCAGGTGTCGACGGCCGCCGCGTTCCGGCGGCTCCGGGAGCGGCGCGAGCTCTTCCGGGCGCTTTTGCCGACGGTCGTCCGCATGATCCCCTCGACGGCCGTGCGCTCGTTCTGTGTCGACATTTGTTTTCGCGCGACATCAATTCGCCGCAGGTCTTCTTCTACGCGCACGACGCGGCGTCGCGGCGCGGCTGGTCGCCGTTCCTCGCGGGCGGCCTCGCGGGCGTCGCCGAGTGGACCTTCATTCTGCCCGTGGACACGGTGAAGACGCGCTTCACCATGCTGCGCCACGCGTCGCTCGCGGCCGTCGTGCGGGGCGTCTGGCGCGAGGGCGGCGTCCCCGCGTTCTACCGCGGCCTCGGGCCGACGCTCGCGCGGTCCTTCCCGGCCAACGGCGCGGCCTTCGTCTGCATCGACGGCATCGACCGCTACTGCTTCCGCGACGCGCGCGAGGTCAGGCTGCGATGACGCGAGTAAAAAGGGAAATCGACCGCTACTGCTTCCGCGACGCGCGCGAGGTCAGGTTGCGATGACGCGAGTAAAAAGGGGAAGTTGAACGACAACTCGAACAGTTGCAGCTCAGGTTGCAGCTGCGGAATTAGCTGCGTCGGGGCAGCTATGCGATGCTGCCCGTCGTCCGCCAGCGGGGCAGCTATGCGGTGCTGCCCATCGTCCTGGCGGCGGTCGCGGCCGCCGGCGCGGACCCCGAGGCGTGCCGGCGGTCGTCGCGCGTCGATCCGTGGGTGCCGCGCGCCGCGCTTGCGCGGTCCCTCGCCCACCACAAGAACCGCTGCCTCGCGGACCACACCGACGCCGCGCGCGTGCGCCGCGCGCCGGCGGCCTGCGACATAAGCATGGACGCCGTCGCGCGCTGCCTGCGCGAGCGCCACGGCGTCCGGCGCGTCGTCCTCGTCGGCGACTCGATCACGGGCCAGCTCTGGGGCTCGCCGCTCTGCGAGCGCGCGACCGAGCGCGGCTTCGGCGCCGGAGGCGCGACCGCGAACGTCACCGCCCTCGGCGACGCCTTCGCCGTCGCCACCGCGCGCCGCGGCGCCGTCGAGTGGTCCTACACGCGGCTGCGCGGCAAGCAGACGGCGGAGCGCTACGCGGCCGCGCTGGACGCCGCGGCCGCCGAGTTTTACGACGAGCCCGCGCTGTGGGTCGCGAACTTCGGGCTCTGGCACCTCGTCTGCGACGACGACGAACGGCCGCCGGAGGCCTGCGTCGATGCCGACTACGAAGCCCGCGTCGCCGACGCGCTCGCGACGCTGGCGCGACGCGCGCGCGGGCCGATCCTGTGGCGCGCGACGACGGCGGTGCACCGCGAGCTCTTTCCCCGGAAGATGGCGCCGCGCGACGTCCGCAAGTTCCGCGGCTTCGACAACGGCGCGGTGGCGCGGCTCAACGCGGCGGCGGCACGGGCGGCGGCGCGTTTCTCGCCGCGGGTGGTCGTCGAGGCGGCGCCGGACGCGTTCAATCTCACCGTCGACCGCGGCGACGGCCACCTCCGCGGCGACGCGCGCCACTACGGCTCGGGGGTGCTGAAGACCCTCGAGACGAAGCTGTTTTTGGACGTTTGTGTGGGGTAATGAATTTTGTTGAAGCGGGGCTGAACAGGAGTTGACCTTTTTCTAGGCACCACCGCGCTCGTGCGCCGCACGGTGACACCTCACAACTTGACCGCAGCGCTGCGCCAGCGTCGACGCCGATGCACGCAGCGATGCTGCGCTGGTCGGCGCTCCTCACTTTAAGCACAACCCTCGCGGCGAGCCCGTCGGCGGGCTGCGACCTGGACACCCAGGCGGGCGCGCAGACGCTGGTCCTGCCCTTCGCGTCCGGCACCTACGAGCACGCCATCGCCGTGCCCGACGGCTTCGCGGGGCCGCGGCCCTTGCTGCTCTACCTCCACGGCTGGGGCGGCGATTCCGGCGAGTGCGGCGCGACGTGCGGCCGCGCGACCGACCGCGGCTTCGTCGCCGTCGCGCTCACGGGCGTCGGACCGTCCGGCTGGTCGAGCTGGAACTCGCCCGGCGCGGGCGATCCGGCGACCTGCGCGCCGGGGACGCCGGACTTCTGCCACAAGTACGCGTCGTGCGACTGCGGAGAGCCGGCGTGCGACTGGGCGACGTGCGAGGACTCGACGTCGCAGATCCTCGAGGTCTACGAGGCCGTCGTCGCGGCCTATTGCGTCGACTTGGACCGCGTCTGGGCCATGGGCTGCTCCAACGGCGGCATGATGGTCCACGGCCTCGCGTCCGACGAGCGAAGCGCGCCGCTGCTCGCCGGCGTCGCGACGGCCGTCGGGCTGCCCCACGCCCACCACAACCGAGAGCCCGCGACGCCGATGCACTACGTCGGCTACTGGGGCGCGTCCGACAGGGTCGTGCCGCCGCTGTCGAACACGGACGACGAGGACATGAGCGTCGACACCGACGGCTGGTACTACAGCACGGCGCGCAACACGACGGACCTCTGGGCGGCCTCCATGCGCTGCGGCGCGCGCGAGGCCTACGCGGCGACGAGCATGGACTGCACCGCCGCGTCGCACTGCGACGGCGGCGCGGACGTCGTCGAGTGCCTCTTCGACGGGGGCCACCGGTGCGGGCGGCCCTACATGGACGACCTCGTCTTCGACTTCATGGAGCCGCGGTCGAGGGCGGCCGCGACGCCGACGGCGGCGCCCACGGACGGCGCGTGCGACGACGACGCGGGCTGGTTCTTCAAGAAGAAGTACAAGGGCTGCGACTGGGTCGCGAACAATCCGGGCAAGCGCTGCGAGAAATCGGGCGCGACGGCCGCGTGCCCTTCCGCTTGCGACGTGGGCGACTGCTGCGACGACGACGCGACCTGGTATTCAAAGAAGACGAACCGCGATTGCGCATGGGTCGCGAAGAAGGCGAACAAGCGCTGCAAGAAGAAGAGCGCGGGAAAAATCAAGGCGACTGTCGCGTGTTCCGAGGCCTGCGGCACCTGCCGCGAGCCGCCGTAAGTTTCCTATCCCGTGAGCCCGGCGGCACCACTCCGGCGCACGCCAGCTGGGCGCGGCCGCTCCGAGCCGCTTGGAGCCGCGGCGCGGCGCGCCTCTCGCCTTCAACATGCTTCAAGTTAGTGCAAACTGAGAGCGACGTCCGCGGCATTCCTCTCTCGTCATTCGCGTCCACCCCGGGGCGGCTGCCCCGCCCCGACTCCCGCGATGAGTCGGGCCCGGGCGAGCTCGGCCCGGAGGCACGACCTCTTCGGGGAACTGGGCTGCTTCTGCGGCTTCGAGACCGCCCTCACATGCGAGGGCAGCGGCCCCGCCGGCGGGCAGCTGGGAATAGAATACAGGAACCCGGAGGTCGACTACTCGAGCCCCCTGGGCCTCCACTTCGACGACGACTTCGACGAGGTGCTCCTCGACGGGCGCGGGGAGACGGCGGTCCGCGTCGACGACGGCCAGCTCGCCGTGGACCTCGACCAGCTCGTCGAGCCCTACTCGCTCCTCGCGGACAAGCCGCCGCTGCCGCGCGCGGAGCCCGCGGGGGCGCCGGCGATCGCCGAGGTCTCGGCCGCCGCCGACGAGCCGTCGACGCCGCCCGCGCCGGCGCCCAGGCCGCCGAAGAAGGGCGCGCGCGTCCGCGCGATCTGGCGCAAGATGACGGGCGGCGGCGACGTCGCGTAGCGCCGAGCGCTGTGTGCCGTGTAGTAACTAGGGATGTGTCATAGAACGAGAGACGATCGGGGAGTTTTACACTTCCGGGCGGCCGAGGGGGCCGGGCTCGAGCCACGCGGCCGCGTCCGCGTCCGGGTCGTAGGTCACGGCGAGGACGTCGGCCTCGTCCGTGTCCTTGGGCCCCGGCACGCCCGGCGTCCGCGGGGTGTGCCGCTCCTTGAGGACCTCGGGCAGCTCGATGATCGCGCCGGATCGCACGGCGACGCGGACGCGCGTGCCGTCGTCGAGGAAGCGGCGCGCGACGCGCGTCGGCAGCGACGTCACGGGGCAGACGAGGTTCACGTTCGAGTAGTGCACGGAGCAGGGCGCCGCCGTCTTCACCTTGACCTTCTCCTCGTCGCCGGGCGCGTAGAGCATGCGGTCGCGGACGTTGACGCCCTCGACGATGAGCCGGTTGCTCTGGCGCAGCACGTGCTGGACGACGCCGCTCTGGCCCCGGTGGCGGCCGTTGACGACGACGACCTTGTCGCCCCGCACGATGCTCCAGCGGTGGTTCGGCTCCACGGGCTTGCGCCGCTTGCCCCGGGCCCAGGGGAAGGACCGGATCGGCCGCTGCTCGAGGTACTGGGCGACCTTGGACACGCCGCTCATCGTCACGGCGCGTCGCTACCGGACCAACGCTAAATGAAACGTAGTCGCCGACGTAGTTGTAGCGGTGCGACGCGCACGTGCCGTATCAGGTGCGCGCGGGCGTCGCGGTGACGGCCACCACGCTCACGGCCGCGATGAGCTCAGGTGGCGCGCCGACGCTCCGTGTGCGCCTGCGAGATGCCTGCGGCAAATCCGAGCTCATCACCATCTCCATCGTGAGGCGGGCGCCGACGCTGTCGTCTCCGCGTACAACTCGGCGTTGACGCGTGCAAATTAATCGAGCATCACCTCCGTGCGCAGACGCAGCCATGCGCGCCCTGCCGCTCATCACGGAGGAGGACGGCAAGTACGTCGTCTGCCAGGAGGCCGTGGACCTCCTCGAGACGATCCCCGCGCCCGTGGCCGTCGTGTCCATCGCGGGCCTGTGGCGGACGGGCAAGTCCTACCTGCTGAACCACTTCAGCGGCGCGAACTGCGAGGGCGCCGGCGGCGGCTTCACCGTGGGCGCGACGGTGAACGCGTGCACGAAAGGACTCTGGCTCTGGGGCACGCCCGTCAAGCTCCCGGACGGGCTCACGGTGCTCTTCGTGGATACGGAGGGCCTGGGCTCGACGAGCCGCACGCAGACGGAGGACTCGCAGATCTTCTCGCTCGCGCTGCTGCTGAGCTCGCTCTTCGTCTGGAACTCGCGCGGCGTCATCGACGGCAACGCGCTCGAGGACTTCGCGCTCGTCGTCAACCTGACGAAGCACATCCACGTGCGCTCCGGCGCCGCGGACAAGGCGATCTCGCGCGCCGACGACGGCGACGAGGCCGCGAAGAAGACCTTCGTCGCCGCGGGCGGCTCGAACGCGCGCGGCGGCGGCGGCCACGAGCTCGACGAGCTCAGCGAGCACTTCCCGGCGTTCATGTGGGTCGTGCGCGATTTTACGTTAAGGCTCGAGGACGGCGGCCGCAAGATCAACGACCGCCAGTACCTGGAGAACGCGCTGAAGCCCCAGCAGTCCTTCACGTCCGAGGCCGCGAGCCGGAACCAGATCCGGACGCTGCTGTCGTCCTTCTTCCGCGAGCGCGACTGCTGCACGCTCGTCCGCCCCGCGGAGGACGAGGCGACGCTGCGCAACCTGAGCAACGTGCCCCTCGGCGAGCTCCGGCCCGAGTTCCAGACGGGTTTAGCGGCGCTGAAGACGAAGGTCTTCGCGTCGATGCGCGCCAAGGCCGTCAACGGGCGCGCGCTCTCCGGGTCCATGCTCGCGACGCTGGCGACGACCTACGCCGACGCGCTGAACAGCGGCGGCGTGCCCACGATCTCCACGGCCTGGGACCGCGTGCTCCAGAGCCAGGCCGCCGAGGCCATGGCCAAAGCGCTCGAGGACTACGACGCGGCCGCGGCGAAGACGCTCGACCTGCCCGACGCCGAGTTTTTGGGCGCGCGCGTCGGCCCGCGGCCCGACGACGACGCCGGCGGCCGGGAGGTCCTGGAGGCGCTGCTGGAGTCGTCGACGCTCCCCTTGGACCCCGCGGCGCTGCGGCGAGCGCACGAGGCCTGGGTCGTCGCCGCGGAGGCCAACTACGCCAAGGCGGTCTGGGCCGACGAGTCGCAGCAGGTGTCGTCGAGCAGCGTCGACCAGCAGAAGCTGCTGGACGGCGCGCTGGGCGCGCGCCTCGCGCGCCTCGCGGACGTCAACGGCCACGTCTCGGACCTCCTCTGCCGCCGCGTCGCGGCCGAGGCCTGCGCCAAGTTCGACGGCGCCGTGGCCTCGAAGCTCGGCGGGTCCGGCGCGTCGACGGGCTCCGGCGGCGTCGCGTCCTACGCGGAGATCCTGAAGGCGCGGCTCAACGACATCGACGCGGCCGACCTGCCGCAGCGGCGCGCGGCGTACCTGCGCGACCTCGCGTCGCGGCGCGCGTGGCTCGACGCGTTCCCCGAGTGCTGCGACCGGCTGCGCCTCGACTACTTCCAGAAGGCCGCGGGCCCGTCCGCGGGCGCCGTCTTCGCGGACGTCGTCGCATCGCGGCTCCTCGACGCGGCGCTCGCCTGGGCGACGGCGCTGGGCGTGGAGCACCGGGCGGTCCAGAAGCTCTGCCGCGCGGACGTCGCGCGCACCGACGAGGCCAAGCAGCAGGCGACGGGGCGGCTCGCCGCGTCCAAGTCCGCGGCGGAGCGCGAGCGCGCGACGCTCGAGCGCGCGGCCAAGGACGCGGAGGTGGAGGCCAGGGCGAAGATCGCGACGCTCCAGGCGATGATCGACGCGAAGCGCGAGGAGCTCGGCCGCCACAAGGCGTCGCAGGAGCGCCTCGAGGCGGCCTACGCGTACGGCGGCGAGCTCGTCGAGCAGCAGACGGCGGCGCAGCGCGAGCTGAGCGAGGACGTGAAGAAGGGCCTCGAGGACGTGCGCGCGGCGGCGTCCGGCATCGACGCGTCGGCGGGCGACGGCGCCCTCGACGCCCAGGACCTGGGCTTCGAGCGCGAGGAGATGGCCGAGTTCGCGCCGCTCGGCGACGGCGAGCTCAAGGAGCGCATCGCCGAGGACGAGCGCGAGCTCGAGCTCATGCACGAGCACGCGGCGCTGACCATCGAGCACGCCAAGGTCAAGAAGATGCTCCTCGCGGACAAGGACCACGAGCTCCAGGAGTACGAGTACCAGTGGGGCGTCGCCAAGGCGAACGTCGCCGCGTCCGAGGGCGAGCTCATGGTCGTCGACGAGGAGGTGAGCGTGCTCCGCGGCCTCGTGCTCCAGATGCACAAGCACCTCGAGGCGACGAGCCGCAGCGGCAAGTTCCCCTCGGACATCGCGCGGAGCCTGCCCCGGGACCAGAAGGCGCTCCTCGAGCAGCTCCTCGACGGGCGCTAGGGTGCTTCGGCGTAAGTGGGGACCCGCACGTACGTGTGCCTGCTCCCATGCGGGCGAGTCGCGACACGGAGGTTAGGCGGCGCGCCTAGGCGTCCATGGCGGAGCCCGTGTACTCGTCGTCGCTGAAGTCGTCGTCGTCGTCGAGGGTCTGGTCGAAGAAGCCCTCGCGGATCTGGTGCGCGCGGTACTCCTCCATGGACCCGAACTTGGGCCCGTCGTCGTCGTACTCGTGCTTCGCGGCCTCGCCCTCGATGAGGCCGTGGATCTGGAGCACGGCCGCCATGATCTCGCAGTTGACCTGCTCGCCGCCGAGCTCCGCGAGGCCCCGGATCTGGTACGTGACCTTGCCCTCGACGACGAGGACGACCGTGGGGATGAGCACGTTGCCCTCGGGATCCGCGAGGATCTTGTCGCAGAGGTACGGCGACTTCTCGGCGTCGAAGCTGCAGAACCGCGTCTCCCGGTGGAGCGCCGCGAGCTTGGCCATGTGGCCGTTGAGCGCGACGCAGTGGTGGCTCGTCGGCCGCATGAAGTGGCAGACGAGGCGCTTGCTGTTCTTGCACGCGGCGAAGAACTCTTTGGTTTCCGTGAGCTGCGTGAGGTGGCCGTGGCCGTTGCGGCTCCACTCCGCCTCCTCGGCCTTGCGGTCCTTCATCTCCTTCATGCGCTCCTCGCGGATCTTCGCGAGGTCCTTCCCGTTCAAATTGTCGAGGTGCTGGAGCTCGGCATCGAGCATGGACTCCTGCACGTCCGCGATCATCCCCAAGGCCTTGACCGCCTGGTTCCCCGCATGCTGGTTGTTCTCGCCCAAGCCGAGGTCCATGGTCGCGACGGCGGCGGCGCGGGCGGCGGCGGTCGAGGCGGCGAGGAGGATGGGCGGCGCGCGACGCGACGGCTGCCGCTGTGCACGGTTTGCGGCGCTCGTTTTGCCCGCGCTGCGATTTGCCCCAACGATGTCGTGTTTTGGCGAGCGTTGGTGTGCTAGCCGATGATGTGCTAGCTGTTTCTCTGCCCCTCAAGACACGAACCATGGCCGAGCTCGTCGCCGAGATGGAGCAGCTGAACAACTCGCTCAAGGAGACGCTGGCGGCCCTGGGCACGTCCGAGGCCGAGATCGAGACCATCGTGGCCAGGAGCGAGTCCCAGAGCGACCTCGGCGTCGACGTGCCAGTGACCACGGAAACAAGAGCACCGGAGGCGCCGCCGAGCAGCGAGGACGCCGACGGCGACTTCGCCGACGACTTCAGCCCCGACGGCGTGCTGCTGCAGCGCGGCGGCACGGGCCCCGCGGGCGAGCCCGTCGTCGCGGACGGCGAGCGCGAGCTCCGCGACCCGTGCTGCTACCTCGTCGCGCACAACATCAAGTCCGCGGACAACCTGGGCTCCCTCGTGCGCACGGCGGGCGCCTTCGGCGCGCGCGAGGTGCTCGTGGTCTCCGCGGAGCGGACGTCGAAGCGCCTGAGGAAGAACCTGCGGACGTTCGGCGCGCACGGCGCGGAGCGGCGCGTGCCGCTGCGCGCCTTCGGCACGCTCGAGCTCCTCGTGTCCTGGGTCAAGGCGCCGCCGCGCAACTGCGAGATCTTCGGCATCGAGATCGACGACGTCGCGGTGTCCTGCGCGGCGCCGGACGCCTTCGGGGCGCCGGCGCTGCCCGCGTGCTTCATGCCGGGCAACGAGGGCGAGGGCCTGCTGCCGAACCAGATCGCGCTCTGCGACCGGCTCGTCTACGTGCCCCAGTTCGCGCCCGCGACGGCGAGCCTCAACGTCAACGCGGCGACGGCCGTCGTCCTGTCCTGGTACGCGGCCGCCGCGGGCTACGCCGAGGAGCGGCGGTCCGGCAACAAGTACGACGTCGTCGACCCCCTCCACAAGCTCTGGAAGCCCAAGCCGCCGCCGGCCGAGCCGCCGGCGAAGGAGGGCCAGGCCCGGAGCCCGCGACCGTCGCGGAGCCGCTAAATTACCCTTTAACCCAGCCCTCGGCGCGGAGCGCGTCCGCGAGGGCGCTCGAGGTCGAATGCTCTCGCAAAATGCGCTTCAGGGCGATGAGGTCGCGCGCGTCCATCTGCGCCTCCGCGGGCGCGGGCGCCGGCTCCGGAGCGGCCGGCGCGGGCGCCGCGGCCGCCTTCTTCTTGCCGAAGATTGCGTCGTAGTTGTTCGAGTAGCGCGGCGAGTAGCCCCAGCCGTCCTCCGTCGGCTTGAAGGCGATGTCCGTCGAGTGGAGCCGGTCGCTCGAGGAGGACGACTTGGAGGACGACGAGTCCGACGACGCCGCGGGAGCAGGTGCTGGGCTCGGGCTCGGGCTCGGCGCCGCGGCCTCCTTGGCGAAGCAGCGCACGTGAGAGCGCCGCGCGGGCGCCGCGACGCGAAGGAGGCAGCGATGCATCGTTGCTGCTTCTCGAGCCTTGGCACCACGAGGTCGCGCGTTGCTGCTTCGACGGGGATGTCGGGCGACGATATGAGTCGATGCCGATCGATGCGACGGCATCGACGCCGCATGGTTTCAACATGCCTGTGAGCACGATGATGTGATGCATAAGGCTGCCCGGGTGCTCTGGTGCCTCCTGTTGCTCGCGCCGTCGCGCGCGCGCCTGCGCGGCACGCTGCCCGCGCGGAAGCGCAAGCCGGCGACGCGGCCGCCGGTGCCCATGCTGCCGTGCGCCGACGCCGAGGCACCGACGGTCTCCGACGCCGGCCAGCTGCGCTCCGCCGACGTCGCACTCGACGTCGAGAAATCCGGAGAAGGGGTCGCCGTCACAACCCCTTTGGAAACGGGCCGCTACGCGGCGTTCGACGCGGCGGCGCTGCGTTCGCGCACCAAAAACCTCTGGCTCTATTTCGCCGGCGACTCGTCGCTGCGCGGGCTCTACCTGTCGCTGCTGCAGCAGCTCATGGACGAGCCGGGGTCCTACTCCTTCTTCGACGGCGGCGACGAGTTCTACGTCGCCGACGAGTGGATGGCCAAGCGGGACCCCGGCGCCGCCGCCGGCGAGAGAGAAAAGAGCCCGGACCGCGACTCGCTCGCGATGGGCTTCGTCGACGCGATCGTCCGCGACGGCGCGCTGCGCTGGATGCGGAGCGCCTTCCACGACGGGTCCCACGGCTGGCGGCGGAGCGGGCCCGGCCCGGACCGGAGCGGCGAGCTGTCGGACCCGTGGTGCGGCGGCGGCGGCGGCGCGACGCGCGTGACCTTCCGCATGCTCACGACGGTGGACCAGTCGCTCCGCAGCCCGCTCTTCGACGGTCTGAACGCGACGTGCCGGCCCGACGTCCACGTGCTCGAGTTCGGCGCGTGGGACCGCCAGCTCCCCGCGGACCGCGGCCTCGAGCGGCGCATGGAGGCGCTCGTCGCCGGCTGGGTCGCGGCCGCGGCGCCGTCGACGCGCCTCGTCTTCGCGTCGATCCCGCGGGGCTGGGAGGCGCTCGACGGCGCGCGGCCCCGGCTCGCGGCGTGCCTCGAGGGCTCCTGGGCGCGGACCGTGGTGGCGCGGTTCCGCGTCGCGTACCTGAACCGCGTCCTCGTCACGGACGCGCTCCGCGCGAGCGCGCTCGCGCGCGACTGCCCCTGCTTGGCGGACCACACGTACCATCCGCCCCACATCGCCAACGTCCTCGACGTCGTGCGCCTCGCGAACGTGCTCTTCCCCGCGGCGCCCGCGGAGGAGGCGGCGACGCGGCTCGCGGTCCGCGGCGGCCTCCGGAACTGCTGCTGCGCGCTCCCGCCGGCGAACGTCTCCGGCGGTTCGTTGGCCTATTGGGCGCGGGTCTGCCGGCTGGTACCGGGTCGATGATAACTTCAATATCAGGTGCAACATCGATTCCTGGAATATTGCGACATGACGGGAGAGCCTGAGGCTGCCCAGTAGCCACTGGCATGTTGGCCCTCGTCTTCGCGACCGTCGTCGCGGCGGCCCTCGCGCAGTGCGACAACGCCGTCGAGTTCGACGCGGCGCACGTCATCGCCGCCGATGCGACCAGCGCGGTCTCTGCGCACGTCCGACGTCGACGGCGACGGCGACTGGGACGTCGTGTCGGCCTCGAACAGCAACCAGATCCGCTGGTACGAGAACGACGGGTCCCAGTCCTTTTCGGATCGCCGGATCACGGACCAAGCGGCCGGCGTCTACAACGTCTTCGTCGCGGACGTCGACGGCGACGGCGACGTCGACGTCGCGCAGGCCTCGCAGTTCGACGACACGGTCTCCTGGTTCGAGAACGACAGCGCCGAATCCTTCACGGAGCGCTTCATCACGACCGCGGGCCTGGCGCCGACGGACGTCTTCGTCGTCGACCTCGACGGCGACGGCGACGCGGACGTGCTGTGGCAGTCGTACAACACGGACGTCGTCGTCTTCGACGAGAACGACGGGTTCCAGTCGTTCACGGAGCGCATCATCGACATGGACGCACACGGCACCTACTGCATGCACGCGACGGACGTCGACGGCGACGGCGACGTCGACGTGCTCTCGACGCATTTCCGCGACGACGCGGTCGCGTGGTACGAGAACGACGGGCTGGAATCCTTCACGGAGCACGTCATCACGACCCTGGCCGACGGCGCCTTCTCCGTCTTCGCCATCGACCTCGACGGCGACGGGGACGTGGACGTGCTGAGCGACGACGGCTACTCGTCAGTCCTGGCGTGGTACGAGAACGACGGGGCCCAGTCGTTCGCGCGCATCGTCGTGTCCACGGAGGAGCTCGGCGCGACGACGGTCACGGCCTTTGACGTTGACGTCGACGGCGACATGGACATCCTCTCCGGCGCCTTCGTCGGCGACACGATCCGCTGGTACGAGAACGACGGCGCGGAGTCGTTCGCGCGCCGCGACATCAGCGACTCGGCGGACGGCGCGTTCAAGGTCTTCGCGCTCGACCTGGACCAGGACGGCGACGTCGACGCGCTGTCCGCGTCCTACTTGGACGGGAAGGTCGTCTGGTACGAGAACGACTGCCTGCTGCCGACGCCCGCGCCGTCGGCGCCGCCGACGGCGAGCCCCGCGCCGACCGCGAGCCCCGCGCCGACGTCGGCCGCGCCGACGCTCCCGCCGTCGCGGGCGCCGACGCACGCCGTCGCCCCGTCGCGGGCGCCCAGCGCGGCGCCGTCGGTCGAGCCGTCGTCGGCCGCGCCGAGCGCTTCGCCGTCGGTCGCGCCGACCTCGTCGCCGCCGTCGCCGCTTCCCACCGCGTCGCCGTCGGCCGCGCCGACGTCGTCGCCGCCGTCGCCGGGTCCGACCGCGAAGCCGTCGCCGAGTCCTACGACCGCGAAGCCGTCCCCGACCCCCTCGACGTCTCCGCCGACGCCGCGCCCCAGCCCGCCGTCGGCGGCGCCCTCGACCGCGCGCCCGACCGCGACGCGGACTTTGTCGCCGACGACGCTCGCGCCGACCGAGCGTCCGACGACGTTCGCGCCGAGCACGCAGCCGACGGCGTCGCCTTCGGTCGCCCCGGCGCCAGCGCCCACGAGACAGCCCACGACATCGCAACCGTCGGCGCCTCCGACACCGGCGCCGACGACCGCTGCGCCTTCGAGCGCCGCGCCGACGACCGCGACGCCGTCGGCGCGTCCGACGCCGCGGCCGACGACCGCTGCTCCGAGCGTCGCACCGACGAGCGCGACGCCTTCGGTCGCGCCGAGCGCCGCGCCGACGACGTCCAAGCCGTCGGCGGGGCCCTCGCTGACGCCGACGAGCGCGCCGAGCGTCGCGCCCACGACCTCGTCGCCGTCGGCGATTCCGACGTCGCGGCCGACGACCGCCGAGCCTACGACCTCGCGCCCGTCGAATGCCCCGACGACGACGCCGAGTACCGCGCCCACGACCTCGTCGCCCTCGTCAACCCCGACTCCACCGCCGAGCCCTCTGCCCACGACTCGTTCGCCATCGGCCAGCCCAACTCCAGAGCCTAGCCTCGGTCCGAGCTCGATCCCGAGCGTCGCGCCGAGCGCCGCGCCCTCGTCTCTGCCGAGTCCGATGCCTACGTCGCTCCCGGCACCAGCGCCCACGCCGTCGCCGTCCCCGAGGCCCACGCCGTCGCCGACGGCGACGCCCGGTTCGCCGACGGGGACGCCCGTCTTCGCGCCGACGCCGCGGCCGACGCCCGCGCCCACGCCCGCGCCCGCGCCCGCGCCAACGCCAACGCCCACACCTCTGCCGTCGTCGGCGAGTCCGAGCGCACTCCCCACGACGCAGTCGCCGTCGGCCGCGCCGTCGCCCGCGCCGACGACGGCCAATCCGACGCCGCGGCCGTCTGCCGATCCTACGCCGACGCCATCGCGGGCGCCGACGCTTCGGCCCTCGCCGTCGCCGTCGACGGCCGCGCCGACGCCGCGGCCCACGCCGACGCCCTCGTCGGCGCCCACCGAACAGCCCACGCCATCGCCGTCGACGCTAGCCCCCACGCCGCGGCCGACGCAGACCCCCACGACGCCGACGCCGTCGCTGTCGCCGACGCGCAAGCCGACGCTCATCTTCGCCGGGCTGGCTCCGCTGATGAACCTGTCGCCGACGCCGAGGCCGACGCCGCGACCGACGTTTCCGAGCCCGACGCCGCGGCCCACGCCGCCGAGCCCGACGCTGCGACCGACGACGCCGCGACCGACGCCGCCAAGCCCGACGCCGCGGCCCACGCCGCCGAGCCCGACGCCTTCGCCGTCGTCGACGCCCCTCGCGCCGACGCTCGCAGTCGACGCCGCGCCGACGCCCGTGGCCCTCGACCCGGAGGCCGCCGACAAGGACGACGACGACGACGAGCTCCTCGGCCCCGGCGCGGCGGCGGGCGCGGACGACGACGACCTGCTGAGCGCCGTCGACGCCGCCTCGGACAAGTCCGGCAAGCGGGCGACGTCGACCGCCTCCGCGTCCATCGTCATGATCGTCCTAGTACTCCTGCTCCTCTGCCTCGCGCTCACGGCGCTGGCCTGCGCCGCCGCGCGCCGCCGCAACCAACCGGAACCCGAATTCATCGACGTCGAGCGCGGGAAGCCGAAGCCGGCGGCGCTCCTCAAGGACCAGTCCAAGCTCCCGAAGAAGAGCGCGCGCTACTTGACGGAGGCCGCGTCCGCCTCGGAGGCGAACCTCGCCGCGGCCGTCCACGACGCGGAGACGGAGGTCGTCCGCTTCGGCGACGGCGACGGCGAGGAGCCCGTCGCGCGGCCGTCCCTCGCCGAGGCCGCGTCGCTCTCGGAGGCGAACGTCGTCGGCGCGGTCCGCGACGGCGCGCTCGAGGGCACGACGACGACGCCCCGCATGAGCGAGATGGTCATCCTCCCGAGCTCCGACGGGTCGGATATCGCGGAGCTCACGGACCTCGCCTGCGTGACCGTGGAGACGGAGATGGCGCCCCTGGAGACCATGGCCGCCCTGGAGACGGACCTCACGGAGGCGTCGCCCCACGCCATGGTGTCCCCCCTGCCGCCGCCGAGCATCCCCGAGGAGATCACGGAGGGGCCCAGAGAATCGATGATTGTCCCAATCTGAAAATTGACAGCCAGAATTCACAACCTAACACGAATCATCTAGATCCCCGCGGCCGCAGCGAAGAGGTTCCCCATGGAGCCCGCCGCCTTCGGGGGCGGCGCGCGGCGCACCTGGAGCCGCGCGCGCCGCGCGCCCTTCTCGCGCAGGCCCCGCGTCGCCTTGAGGTTCGCGCCGCGCTGCTCCGCCTCGACGTCGGGCATGCGCGCCAAAGCGGTGTCGCCCTCGGTGAGCCGCAGCACCGCGGAGCTCCCCGGCCCCTTGAGCGGCACGGACCGCTGCAGGATGCGGTCGATGGCGCACGTCGCCTGCAGGCACTGGAAGTCGAAGCGGCGCAGGTGGCTCGCGAGCTGGTCGCTCGGGCCCGCGCGCTTCGCGCCGACGGCCACGGCCGCCGCCGCGGCCCTCGCGCCGTCGTCGAGGCCCAGCAGCAGGCGCCCGCCCGGCGACTCGTCCGTCGCCGACCGCCAGGGCCGGATGCCCAGCCGGCACTCCTCGAGGCGCGTCCAAAATTCCAGAAACGTGTCGCCGTCGAGGACCCGGGACGCGATCGTCTCGACGGACCGGAGCCGCGACGGCGCCGCGCGCGCGTTGAGGTCCACGCGCTCGCTCAGGGACACGACCTTGGCGAGGTCCGCGAACTCCTCGGCGAGCGCGCCGCGCCAGCGCCACCAGAACTTGCCGCCGTAGACCTCGCTCACCGCGCAGAGCGCGCCCCGGGAGAAGTCGAGATACGCCGTCGCGGCCTCCGGGTCCTCCGCGGCGTCGCGCGCCTGGTCCAGCCCGCCGCCGCGCCGTCGCGCGATCTCCGCCAGCGCCGCGTCCCGCGCCTCCTGCTCGACGACGGCCCGGCCCCGCTTCGCGACGTCCGCGTCGCGCTGCTTCGCCCGTTCGCGGAGCGCGTACGCGCTCGGGTCGTCGGCCAGCGATTTCTGCAGCCGCACCAATTCCAGCGCCTCGTCGGTCGCGTAGGGCACGAAGTGGACGTAGGACGTCACGGCCGCGCAGCCGTCGCGCCGGCGCGCCCACCGCGCGAAGAGGGCCTTTGCGTTGGACAAAGCTTTTGCCGTAAGAGGCTCCAATCGCCACTCGGCCCGGAGCTGCGCCACGACCCCCGCCAGCGACGTGCAGCAGAGCCGCGCCGTCGCCGTCGCGCCGTCGAAGGCCAACAATTCGACGACGCTCTCCACGAAGGTCTGGGGCAGGAGCGCGAGCTTCCCCGCTCGCCTCAGATCCGGCGGCGACAGCGCGACCATCGGCCCCAGCCGCCTCGACCCGCGCGCGACGGCCGCGAGGCGCGGCGGCCGCGACGACCCGTCGTCGGCCTCGCCGTCGCCCCAGAAGAGGACGAGCGGCGGCCCGCCGCCCTGGGCGCCCGCGACGAAGATGTCCTCGGACCGGACGAGCGTCGGGTCCGCGTCCGTCGCGCAGCCCCGGAGCGGCGGCGCGACGGCGACCTCGCGCTTCGCGTCCGTCAGCACGACGACGGACGTCACGAGCCCCGTCGGCGCGCCGAAGACGACGACGCGGCCCGGCACGCGCCGCCGGTCCGCCATCGTCTTCCGCATCTCCTCCGCCGTCGCGCCCGCCAACCGCGCGGACCAGTCCTCCTTGTTCCGCACGTCGCCCACGGCTAAATCGCCGTCGCGGCTCCAGGCGACGCAGGTCGGCCCGTTCAACGCCACGCCGTGGTCCCCCCGGAAGTCGCGGATCCACCGGCACTGCGCGTCGAACAACGCGTGGCGCTTGCAGCTGTACATGAACGTCGCGACGCGGTCGTTGCCCGAGTCGGCGACGGCGACGACGCGGAAGGGCCGACCGCCCCAGGGGTCGCCGTCCAGGGGGTAGTCGAGGTCGTGCTGCGCCGCCAGGAGCGGCAGCAGGTCCGACAAGCGGTCCACGGTCAAGGCGTAGTCGACGGCGCCGGAGATCGCGCGCGGCCGCGCGCCGACGCCGTCGACCTTCGCGTAGTACTTCCGCGCGACGTCGGGGTGCACCTTGGCCTGGAAGGGGCCGACCCAGTAGCGCTCGGGCGTGAGGCTGCGGATCTCGTGCTCGTCGATCTCCGCGTGCTTGTAGGACTCGTGGCTCACGTAGCATAACAACAAATCGCCGCGGCTGCTCGGGTCCACGCGGACGCGCCACGTGCCGACCTTGGCGTCCTGCATCGTCGCGTGCGCCTCGGACCGGTTCACGGCGCCGAGCCACCAGCTCGGGCAGTCGCGCTCCCAGTCGTGGAGGAGGCCCCGGGCCTTGCCGACGGCCCGGAGGCCGTCGATGGCGTGGCGCGCGGCGACGTCCGTGGGCTCCCGGAGCTCCCAGACCGGGGGGCGCACGGGCTTCGGGGGCGGCGGCGGCGCGCCGTCCTCGCCGTCCTCCGCGTCGGCCTTGGCTTTTGCTTCCTTCTCCGCCTTCTCGGCCTTCTCCCGCTCGGCCTTCTCCTTCGCGCTCTCCCTCTTGAGCTTCGGCTTCTTCGCGTCGTCGTCGCCGCCGAGGTCCGCGGCGGGCGGCGCCGCCCTGCGGACGTAGCCGCGCTTCGGCGCCGGGCCGTTGAGCGTGAACGCGTGGGCCGTCTCGTTTACGTCGTCGTCGAGGCTAAACGCCTGGACGCGGTTGTTGCCCTCGTCCGCGACCAGGATTTCGTCGGGGTCCCGCGTCCAGGCGATGCCCCCCGGCATATATAGCAAATAGTCGTCGTCGCCCTGGACCGTGCCCCCGAGGTTCCGCACGTGGTGCCAGCCCTGCTTGCCCCTGTCGTCGGACCGCTCGAAGATCTGCACGCGGCTCCGCTCGCGGTCGCAGACGGCGACCTTGCCGGGCAGCGTCGCGTCGCGCGCCTTGGCGCCGCGCGCGGCGCGCGCGCGCGCGAAGAGGTCCATCTCCGCGTAGAGGCCGTCCTTGTCCTTGGCGTCCTGCCGCTTGCTCGGGTCCTCCCTGGCGGGCTCCAGCGCGACGCCGCTCGGGTCGCTCCAGGCCTCCTCGTCGCCGTGGGGGAAGCCGAACTCCTCGCCGTCGATCTGCCGCCGCGTCGGCCCGATGTCCACGAGCCGCCCGCGCCCGCCGCCGTCGATGGCGGCGACGACGCCGCTGCCGTCGTTCGCCGGGCCCATGGGCGCCGAGATGAGCCGGAACGAGCCCGCGATGCCCGACAGGTCGTCGGCCTTGCAACCCCGCCAGTCCCGGGCGAACATGTTGTTGTTTTCAGTCCTGGGCTAGCCTATAGGCGCGGCTGCCCGCCTCATGCCCGCGCTGGGTGGCATGCAACTTGTATGCAATCAGCGGTGTTGCTGCCCGGGCAGCATGGGGATGGGCTGCCCCGTCGGGAACCCATGGAGAATGCGACATCAACCCTCTTTGCTCGTCTTCTGCCTCGTCGCCGCGGTCTCCACGACGGCCGCCGACGACGCGCCCGCGCCGACGCCCCTGCCGTGCCCTGTGGGGCCGCGCTGGTCGCGGCAGGCCAAGGGCGTCGACGTCGACGGCGGCGGCGCCTACGCGACGGCGGTCTGCTCGAACATGGGGACCTGCCGGGCCGATGGTATTTGTGTTTGTGATAGTCACTACGTCGGCGACGCCTGCGAGACGCTCGCGTGCTCCCCGGGCGGCGCGGCGGGCGTCAACGACTGCACGAACGGGACGTGCGCGCTCTGCGCCATCGACGCGGACTGCCCCTACGTCGAGACGGACTACAAGTGCACGCGGGAGCTCCTCGGCGGCCTCATCTCCCTGCCGAAGCCGTCGAAGTGTTCGAAGAAGCGCGCGCGCGACTGCGAGCGAGACTTCCCGCCCAGCTGCGCCTGCAGCTGCGTCGAGTGCGGCACGGAGGCCGACTACTAATTCGAAATTTCCCTGGGTGCTGCCGGTGGCGGACGCCCCAGGCTTGGCGTGGGGCGCATCGGCCGGCATCGGCGCGCCGGGCGCCGGCGCCGCCACTTGCCGTCACGAGTCTTCTTGAACTTGCCAACGACTCGCCGAGCAATGATGCTACAGCAGTCCGGCGGGCAGCCCGCGATGATGCGGTGCTTGTTCTTGCTCGTCGTCGCCGCGTCGAGCGCCGTCGCGTCGGCGCAGCAGAAGCTCACGAAGGTCGCGGCGATCCAGATGAGCATGTCGACCAGCTTGGAAGCCAACGTGGACAAGGCCCTAAACCTCGTCGCCGAGGCGGCCGACGACGGCGCGAAGATCATCGTGCTGCCGGAGCTCTTCGCAGCTCGCTACTTCGCCATCGAGGAGAATCCCAAGTGGTACGCCATCGCGGAGCCGCTGGCGAACAACAGCCGCTTGGACAAGTTCGCGGCTTTGGCGAAGGACCGCGGCGTCGTCGTGATCTACCCGTTCTACGAGGTCGCGGCCAACGGCGCGACGCACTACGACAGCGCGGCGGTCATCGACGCCGATGGCACGGTGCTCGGCCCCTATCGTAAGAGCCAGCTGCCCGAGGACGACGGCTGGTTCGAGAAGTACTACTTCGCGCCCGGCCAGACGGGCTTCGAGGTCTGGGACACGCAGCACGGCAAGGTGGGCGTCGCCATCTGCTGGGACCAGTGGTTCCCGGAGACGCACCGCCTGTTGACGCTCGCGGGCGCCGAGGTCGCGGTGTTTCCGACGGCCATCGGCTTCGGTCCCGTCGCGCGCTGGTACGATCCCTGGCAGCTCGGGTCCTGGGTCGCGGCGCAGCAGGGCCAGTCCGTGGCCAACGGCCTGCCGTTGGTGGTGGCGAACCGCGTGGGCCTGGAGCCGTCGCCGGACCGCGAAGATCGCACCATCTCGTTCTGGGGCAACGCGTTCGTGACGTCCGCGGCCGGCGAGATCGTCGCGCGCGGCGACAACGCCTCGGAGACCGTCGTGTCGGCCGTCGTCGACCTCGGACCGAACGTGAACCGCGACATCTGGCTCCGGGACCGCCGCGTCGATCTGTACGGCGGGCTGCTCGAGAGCGACCTGCGCGCGACGACGCGCCAGTTCCCCGCGGAGTGGGAGCCCCACGAGGCTGTCTGGCTCGGCTTCCCGCCCTTCCTCTACACGAACGCGTCGGGCCCCACGAACCGCGACGCGTCCGCGGCCGTCTGCTGCGCCCTCGCGGATCACGGCGTAAAAGTCCGCGTCGCGACGGCCGACGCGGCCGAGACGGCCGCGGCGCGCCGGCTCCTCCGCGGCGCGTGCGCGAAGCACGCCGCGTCGACGGACGCGTCCGCGGCCATCGAGCTCGTCGAGGGCATCCCCCACGACGACGCGTGGTGGCGCGACATGGGCCCGCAGTTCCTCGACGGCGGCGCCGTGCTCGACACGGCCTTCGACGGCTGGGGCTACGCCGTCGCGCAGCCGGCCGACGCCTACTTTTGTTCCTCCGCGGCGACGGAGGACAACGTCGACCGCCTTACGGCGCTCGCGCTCGGCCGCGAGACCAAAATCGCGACGGACGTCGTCGTCGAGGGCGGCAACGTCGAGGTCTTCCGCGGGTCCGGGAAGGATTCGCTGCTCCTGTCCGTCGAGGCCGTCCAGGTCCAGCGGAACCCGTCTTTAAATGCGTCGCAGATCGCCGCGAGGATGGCGCGCGCGTACGGCTACCCGGAGCTGCTCTGGCTCGCCGAGGGCAACGTCGACGACGAGTTCCCCTGGCGCGGGCCCGTCGACGTCCACGGCGAGGCCGTGTATACCTACGGCACGGGCGGCCACGTCGACGAGGTCGCGCGGTTCGCGCCGGACGGGCGGGTCCTCCTGGGAGTCGCGAACGCGGACGCGCGAGGCCCGCTCTACGACGAGGCGCGCCGCCGCGACGCCGCGAACCGCGAGACGCTCGCCGCACGCGGGCTGGAGGTCGTGGAGATCGAGCAGCCCGAGTTCCTGGTGGCGAAGGTCGCGCCCGGCGACGGCTACCTCTACGACACGCTGAAAGGCATCGACTACGGCGCCTGCGACGCCTCCGAAAAGTGGACGCGGTGCCAGGCCTTCCCTGACGGCGACGACGTCAAGGTTTTGGTCGCGGCGTCGTACCTCAATTACCTCGTCACGAACGGCCTCGTGCTGATGCAGAAGTACTGCGTCCCGGGCCGCTGCGCTTCGGGCGCCGCCGCGGCCGACGCCGCGGCGAAGAAGGCGCTGGAGGCGGTGTTCGCGGACCGAAAGGTCGTCGCGCTCGACATGTACCCCGTGAACCTCGGCGGCGGCGGCGTCCACTGCTACACGCACCAGCAGCCCGCGCTCTAGGGGTACATGCTGAAGATGTTAACCAAAACGTTGCCTTGAGCTTGAACCGCTCTCCGGTCATCATCACCGCCTGTCGCGTCGCGCGCTGAACACCACGCGAACGGACAGCATGGCCCCGGTGAACGTGCTCATGATGGGCACGGGCGAGTACACGACGGGCTGGGTCGGCAAGAAGAGCGACAGCGACAAGTCCACGGGCGTCGTGGGCCTGGTCATGCTGGACCTGAAGCGCCGCGGCAAGGTGGGACGATTGGGCATGTGCGGGACGAACGGCACGAAGCTGCCGGCGATCCGGGACCACATGGCGGCCCTGGGCGAGGCCTACGAGGGCATCGACCCGTCGACCATCGAGACCTTCCCGGCGGACGACGTCGTCGACCGCGAGGCGTACAGGGGCGCGGTCGCGTCGTTCGCGCCGGGCGACGTCGCCATCGTCTTCACGCCCGACGACACGCACTTCGCCATCGCGCTGGCCTGCATCAAGCGGGGCGTGCACGTCATGATCACGAAGCCGCCCGTGAAGACGCTCGCGGAGCACAACGCGCTCGCGGCGGCGGCGGCGGAGGCGGGCGTGCTCTGCGTCGTCGAGGTCCACAAGCGCTTCGATCCCATCTACCGCGACGCGCGGGACCGTATTGCCAGTTTGGGCAACTTCTCCTTCTTCCAGGCCTACATGTCGCAGCCGAAGCACCAGCTCGAGACGTTCCGCGCGTGGGCGGGCAAGTCGTCGGACATCTCGTACTACCTCAACTCGCACCACGTCGACTTCCACGAGTGGGCCGTCCACGGCCGCGCTAGGCCCGAGCGCGTGACGGCGTTGGCGTCGACGGGCGTCGCCGAGGCGAGCCTGGGGCGGCCCTGCGAGGACACGATCACGCTGTCCGTGCAGTGGCGGAACCTGGCCGACGGCGCGCTCGGCCACGCGCTCTACACGTCGTCCTGGGTCGCGCCCAAGTCCGACGTCCACTCCCAGCAGCGCTGGTTCTACATGGGCGCGTCGGGCGAGATCTCCGTGGACCAGGCGCACCGCGGCTACACCGTCGCGACGGACGCCTCCGGCTACGGCTCCGTGAACCCGCTCTTCTGGAAGCCGACGCCGTCCAACGGCAAGTTCGTCGGCCAGGCCTGCTACGGCTACGTCTCCTTCGAGTCCTTCGTCGACGCCGCGGCCGCGCTCAACGCGAAGGCCACGACGCTCGCGGCGTGCGACGCGGACCTCCCGACCATGGCGACGACGGCCGGCGCGACGGCCATCCTCGAGGCCGGCCGCAAGTCCCTCGACGCCGGCGGCGCGCCCTTCGACCTCGTCTACGCCGACGGCGCCTCGACGACGCCCGTCGACATGAAGCCCGCCTTCTAGGATCCGGATCCCCGGCCGCGTGGGGCTCAGGCTAACGATGCCTTTGCGATACATATCAGCGCAACTCCTCGCGCGGCGCCGCGCTGATCTCGGAGAACGACGCGAGGCCGGGCGCGTCGGCCCCGTCCGGCAGCCTCCGGACCCGGTCCTCGTGCCCGGGGACCGCGACCATGCCCGCGTCGCCGCCGTCGCCGACGCGCACCATGCCCCACCCGCTGCGGGCCCAGATGCGCAGCGACGCGGAGCTGCGCTTCGTGTCGTCGCTGGGCAACCTCGACATGGAGAACAACGGGCCGGCGAGCGTCGCCGCCGAGAGCGCCAAGAGCCCGCACACGAAGGCGGCGACGCAGCAGAACCTGAGCCAGCAGAAGAAGTTGGCAAGCGCGCTGCGCGACGAGCACGGCGAGCGCATCAGCCAGGAGCAGCAGCAGGCCGTCGTGCGGGCCATGCAGGCGCTGGAGGAGCAGCAGGAGCTCGCCTTCGAGCGGCGGGACCTCATCGGCCAGCGCATCTCCAAGCTCGGGCGCAAGCTCGGCGACACGAAGGAAAGATTAACGGCCGTCGAGAACGAGAACGCGCAGATCGAGCTGCAGGCCGAGGGCATCAAGCAGGAGATCGCGACGATGAAGGAGGAGCGGGAGCACAACTTACGGGAATTGGAGGCCATGCGCGGCGAGAACGAGGAGATCAAGAGCCGCACGCTCATGGCGCTCGACCTCCGCATGCACAAGCTCCGCCACGAGATCAAGGACGTCGACCGCGCGCTGAAGAACGCGATCTGGTCCGCGGGCTCGTCGGAGTCGTCGACCTTCGTCTCCGTCGGCGTCGGCGCGGACACGCCCCTGCCGCCCCTGCCGCCCGTGGAGCCCATCGTCCTCGCGCCCGTGCGGCGCCGCGACGACGAGAGCCAGACGGGCGTCGTCGCCCCCCGCAAGGGCGGCGCGGGGCGGCCCCAGACGTCGTCGGCGGCCCAGTCCTTCGGCATCCGCAAGTACGGCATGATGGCGTCCATGTCGCTCAAGGACGTCGGCGAGATCGCGCACAAACACGCGAAGCCCGTCGACCTGCTCCAGGCGCACTCCATCGGCACGCGCGGCGACGCGTTGTTGGCGACGCTGCTGGGCCACGACGCCGACGCCCACTTCGGGAGCGGACGATCCCTCGCCACGTCCATCTCCTCGCCCTACCTCCGGAGCCTCTCGCACTCGCGGTCCCTGCCGTCCTGCGGCTCCGCGGCGCGCCGCGCGCGGTCCGCGACGCCGGGCAGGCGGAAGCCCCTCAAGTGAGCGCGCGCGAGCGCTGCTTCGTTCCGCGGGCGCCGTAACATGGAGTTTCGCGCCGGCGATTCGAAGGCTGGGATGTCTGAGCAGCAAGTGAGCAGCAGCGCACGCCCACCACCGGCTACGGCTGCGAATGAGCCGTCGTTGAACAAGCACATCTATGAAGCAATGCTGCAGTAATCCGTAGCTAAGAGACGGTCTCTCGTGCGAGCATTTCAGCGGCCGATGGTGGAATCTCCACCTTAGAGGGCCCCGCGCTCCTCGAATATGCAGCGACGTGCAACGATCCCAGTGGCTTTGAGGTCCGCAAACATGTGGGTGAGGCACATGAAAAGACGCGACATCCGGACGATTGCGAGGCGACGCAAACGGGCAGCCCCAGGGGGTGGAATGAGGCGCGGCAGCTTCCCCCGACCCGATTTTCGGTCCCCTTCGAGTCACAGAGCGTCGGGAATCGTTCGTCATGGGGGCGACCAGATGCCCTCGCGGCAGCTCTTCGGCTCGAGTGGATTTGATCGAGATCACCTCACCGCCTCCGGGAGGCGTGCGGCGCCGCGGGTGACACGGTGCTCACCGCGCAATGCATGAGGCGTTTGGTGTGACCACACCCGGACAGTCCCCTCGGGAGAGACATCCCAGGGGGTGTTTCTTCGAAGTTGGTCACACCAAACGCCCCCTGGAACTAAGTTGGGCCCCTCGTCGGTCGCCCCCCACCGTTAACGGCCGTTCTCGTCATCCACGGGCTGCCCCGACGCGAACTAAGTTGCTCGCCTTCGACCGATGGTCTTTCCCGAGCGACTCGCAGCCGGGCCCAAGGCGCGACATGGTCCACAGACCGAGCGCCGCGCCAAGTCCTGGAACCGCTGCATCGCGCGTCCGAGCCCGGAGCGAGGCAAAGCCGTGACGTCAAAACTGCACGGCTTCGCTGCTCTTTGAACCGGTTAACTTTAGCTTAGCCGGCAGTGCGTCCCGCTGCGGCACCATCGCCTGCAACGATCCCGGCGACCTTGTGGCAGCAATGGCTGCTTTATTCCCGTCCGCCCGCGCGCTCCTGCGGACCTCCGCCGTCGCCCCGGCCGTGCGGCGGCCGGCGCGCGGCCTCGCGAACGTCGTGCGGGCGCGCCTCGACGAGCTCGCCGAGGACCGGGGCGAGGCCGAGGTCCTCCAGTACGAGGGAATGAAGTGGACGGTCTGCGAGGCCAAGAAGTACGCCGACGGCCTCGCCGCGGGCCTCGGCGAGCTCGCCGTGGGCAACGGCGACGCCGTGGCGACGCTCATCCCCGGCGACGCGCCGGAGAGCCACTGCGGCCAGATCGCCGCGGCGTCCGCGGGCTTCGTCTACGTGAGCATCGACCCGGCGCTCGGCGCCGACGCGGCGCGACGCCCGCGTCGTAGACCCTTTCTTTCTTCCCCCCGCACACGCCGCTTGTGCCGCAGGTCCGGGACGCGCTCGCGGAGACGGGCGCGAAGGTCGTCATCCACAGCGGCTCCGAGGCGGACGTCGCGCTCCTCGAGGCCGCCGTGCCCGAGTTCTCCGGCCACGCGGCGCGCAAGGCGGCGCCCTTCCACTCGCCGGCGGCGCCGAGCCTCAAGTACTTCGTCTCCACGGGCCTCGACATGCACCCGGCGTCGTCGAACTACCAGCACCTCCTCGCCGTCGACGGGCCCAAGCCCTCGGGCGACGTCGCCGACGACGCGCTCCTCTACGTCGCCTACGGCGCGGGCGGCGTCGAGAAGTTCAGCCACAAGGAGGTCGTCCAGCAGAACGTCTTCCCGGCGCTCTCCGCGGTGCTCCACGTCGAGCACGCGACCTTCTAGGCGCGGCGGCCTCGACGCGCGGCGTAACACCGCCCCTTGCCTCGCGCGCGCCGACGACCGAGAGAGACGCCGTCGCTTTACGACGCGCCTATGCCGCGGATCGCATGATGGAGAGGAACTCCTCCTGGCTGATCTCGCCGTCCTGGTCGCGGTCGAACTCCTCGATCATGGCCTGGAGCTCCTCCTCGGAGAGGTCCTCGCCGAGCTCGCGCGCGACCTGGCGCATGTTCTTGAGCGAGATCTTGCCCGAGCCGTCGTTGTCGAAGAGCTGGAACGCCTTCATGATCTCCTCCTCGGGGTCGCGCTCCGCGTAGCGCTCGGCCATGAGCTGGGAGAAGAGCAGGAAGTCGACGGAGCCCTCGTTCGACGGCTCGAGCTCGTGGACCATCTTGATCACGTCCGTCTTCTTGACCTGCGGCGGCGCGCGACGCGTCGGGCGGAGGCGGCGCGACGCGTCGCGCGCGCGGCGGCCGCGCCTGGAAGCCCAGCGCGCGCAGCAGGACCTTGAGCTCGTGCCTGCGGCGCGGCGCGTGGTTCGTTTTTGATGTTCGTGGTGGCGTGATGCGCAAGAACGCACAGGTTGATTTTGCCGCTCTTCTCGGAGTCGAAGAGCTCAAAGGCTTCGCGCAGCTCGGCCGTCTCGCGCTCGCCGAGGCGCTTCGTCCCGCGCGTCATGGTTGGTTCGCGGGTCTGGGTTTTCCCGCGTTCGTGCGCTGCCGCCGGTGCCGCGCGTCGCGCTAGCCGCTGCTAAAAGCGCTCAAACTGGTTGAGTGGCAACTGAGGCACCTTTGGCACGGAGCACCCACGGTGCCGTCGGCAGAAACTGTAGGACTCCCCGACCGCTGGCACCAGCGACCTGATCGCGGGCAGCCCCAAAAAGAGCCCCACCCGAGCGCGGGCAGCCCGCCGACGGACAGCGTCAATGGCCGACGCCTGGCGGCGCGTGCCCGAGGTGCTGCACTGGGCCGTGGCGGCGAGCGTCGACGGGAGGAGCCTCGCCATGATGGGCGCCGTGAACCGGTCCATGCGGCGCTGGGCCCACGAGGAGGCGCTCTGGTCCGCGCTCGTCGGGAGCCACGACCAGGCCGCGCTCAGGCGCGCCGCGCGGCCCATCGCGCGCCTCGAGCTCGAGGAGCACCTCCTGGAGGCCTACCAGGAGGAGACCCTGCGCCTCGTCGTCATCGGCGCGGCCCCCGGGGCGGGCGCGACATCTCTCGTGCACCGGTTCCTCCGGCGCGCGCCGCGCGAGCGGCCGCCCTCGTCCGCGGCGATTCGGATCCAGCACGCGTGCGTCGGGCTCCGGCCCGCGGGCGCGCGGCGGCTGCTGCGCATCGTCGAGGACTCGGACGCACGGCGCGCGCGGCGCGTGCGCATCATCGAGGAGGGGCGCTACTTCGGCCACGTCGACCGCCGGGCAGGAAAAGAGTGCTAAATTCCCAACTTCAAAGGCTCCTCTCTCGGCCGTTTTCCACTCGTTTCGGCTGATTTTTGGACGAGCGATCATCTCTTGGAACGGTCTCGAAGCGTGGATGTGTTTTTCGTTACGCGCGCGCGCGGAACACTCACGTTGAAGCGACGTTGAATCACCCTTGTGCTGCCCAGGTCGACCGCCGGGCCATGTACGAGGGCGCGGGCGTCGTCGTCGTCGTGGACGTGTCGTCGCCGTCGGCCGTCGCCGACGCGGCGCGGGCCTTCGACATCATCGGCCGCGACGCGGGCGGCGGCGACCTGTGTGGAAATCAAGCAGTCGGGGCCGAACTTCGGAAATCTCTCGCTCGGTCGAATCGAAGTCGATTCGGCTGATTCTTGGACGAATCGATTGCTCTCGGAGAAGCTCGCGTACGCGCACGATTTGAAGATAATATTTCCACACAGGCGGCGACCCGCCGCGGGTGGTGTTGTGCGCCACGAAGACGGACCTCTTCCACTCCGCGGCGACGGCCGCGCGCCTCGACCGCCTCGCGTCGGCCGTGGGGGCGCGGTCCGTCCGCGCGTCGGCGCGCGACGGCACGGGCGTCGACACCGCGTTCCTCTTGCCGTTCGTCGAGGCATTTGCGGCTGCGTAAAGTTTGCGATTCGCGACGCGGTGCCGTCGCTTGTGCGTCGGCCTTCTCCACCGGTGCGTGGGTTGCGGTGCCTTCGCTTGTGCGTCGGCCTTCTCTAGCGCAGCAGGGTTGCTCCAGGGACAGGTATGAGGCACTTTGTGAGGCTGCCTCGGAGGAGGCGTCGGAGGGCGTCCTCGGGTAGGCCTTCGGGTGGCGTTTCGGATCCAACGGTCGCATCAACGCTCCGATAATTTAGGCCGACACGCGCCACTCGATTATGGAGATCGTTGGAAGCTTGTGGCGGCGATTGGAGGCTTAATTGACAGCACAAGAATCGCCATCCTGCCGCGTGTCGGCGCTCAGAACTCAGTACACCATCCACGCCGCCGCACACGGGAATGTTCACCATGCCCTCTCACGCCTTCCTCCGCGAGCAGCTGCGCCGCGACGCCGCCGCCGCGAAGGAGCAGAAGTTCCAAATGGACCAGAGCATCGACCGCCTCGCCAACCACACGACGCAGTCGCGGTCGTCGGCGTTCCTCCGCGAGAACCTGCGGCGGCAGGACGCGAGCCCGGCGCCCGCCGCGGCGCCGGTCCCGGTCGACGGCGCGGCGGCCCTCGAGAGCTCGCTGGAGGACGGCGCGGCCGCGGCGCGCGGGCCCGAGGCGTTCGCCGTCGCCGGCGCGGCCGCGCGCTGGTCCTGGCAGCCCGCGCTGGGCTTCAGCAACCAATAGCGCCCGTGTGCGACGGCGCGTCCCTCCCGTAGTGGTAACTACGACGGCACTCCCACTGTCCGCGCCGCGGGGCTCCGAACGCGGAGCGAGCGGGCGGCGCTCGGAACCACTCTCCGGGGGACGCATCCCTACCGCACGAGGTTAGCGGCGGAAAGAGGTCGCGGGGCCGGGCTCAGCTGAGCTCGCGGACGGGCTCGTTGCGCTGCCAGATCTCCTGGAAGAAGGTGAAGAGCGCGGGCGTGACGGACGTCTTGTAGGGCGTCGGGTTGAGGGGGCGGAGGATGTCCTCGCGCACCGTGCGGAGCTGCTCGAGGCAGTGGTCGCGGATGTCGATGAGGGACCGGTCCGGGTCGCAGCGCGTGCCGTCGAAGACGAGCTGGTGGAGATCCAGCACCTTCGACGGCGTCACGTACGCGCGCTTCTGGTGGTCGAAGGGGTGGCGGCAGAGGATGCGCTCGCCGACCTCCGGCGGCGCGTGGGAGAAGGGCACGAGCAGGTCCAACAGCATGACGTCCGCGGAGCTCACGAGGCGGTAGATCGACTTCGCTCCCGGTATCGTCGTCTTCGCGATCTCGTTGCTCAGCTTGATGCAGGGCTCGCCGTCGATCTCCACGAGCTTGTAGACGCAGCCGAGGGCCGGCTGCGCCTGGCACGTCACGAGGTGCGTGCCGATGCCGTAGCAGTCGATCGCGTGGCCCTGCTCCTTGAGGCTCAGGAGCACCGTCTCGTTGATGTCGTTCGACGCGACGATGGACACGGCCTCGAGGCACGCGGCCGTGGCCTCGTGGCGCGTGCCCCGGAACGCGTCGACGACGCCGGCGAAGAGCGCGCGCGACTCGCGCGACAGGTACGCGAGATCGCCGCTGTCGATGCGGACGCCCTTGGGCGCGAAGCCGCACTCCTTGAGCGCCAGCGCGACCGTGACGAAGTTCTTCAGGCCCGTCTCGAGGGTGGAATAGGTGTCGACGAGGGCCACGAAGTTCGTCGGGTTCGCGAGCGCGTAGGCGACGAACGCCGCGAACTCGCCCGCGTGCAGCGACCTACAACGTGTTGGGGTCCGACGTGGTGGAAGACAGACGACGCGGACCCGCGCCCCGCGTCCTCGTAGCCGAGGCGCCGCCGCCAGGTCAGCGCGGCCTCGGCGAGGTTCACGCCGCCGAGGACGCCGTCGCCGTCGAGCTCGTCGCCCGTGATGTAGCTCTGGACGAAGGCGTGGCTGTGCGTGCCCGAGACCTATAAGGACTGTGACCTTTGAAGCAGCGGCGCACTCCTTACCGGCAGGTCCGGGAAGAGGCGGCCCGCGAGGACGTTCGACGTGCCGTCGAATCCGCCCTGGAACGCGTAGCGGCTCGCGGACACGCCGCCGTCGGGGCCCTGGGCGCGCCGCAGGCCGAACTCGAGCAGCTTCTTGTCGGGGCCCGCGGCCAGGCGCATGCGCGCCGCGTTCGTCGTGACCTGGGTCGTTTCGGCGTTTTCTCGGCGACGCGCCGTCGTCTCGGAGCGCGCCTCTCGGAGCGCGCGGGCGGCGCGGTTCGGCGCGAGCGCGGCACCCGCGTCGACGCGGGTCGTCGCGAGCGACGCGAAGTTGACGAGGTTCAGCAGCGTCGTCTCGAGGAGCTGCGCGATCGCGAGCGGGCCGTGGATGCGGAGGAGCGGGCACCTGCGCGACGAGCGTCGGCTCCGGCTGCGCGCAGCCCGCCGCCGCGCCGCGCGACGCCGCGGCGCGCTTGGGGAAGACGACCGTGCCCTCGCGCACGGCGTAGATCTGGACCTTGGAGCAGTCGACGCTTCGGATCCATTCGAAGAACTCGTCCTCGGCGCGCGGCAGCAGCGTCCGCAGGTACTCGACGTCGTCGTCCGTGACCTTGAAGTTCTCCACGTAGCAGAGGCACTCCTCGAGGCCGCCGAAGATCGTGAACTCGCCGCCGAAGGGGTTCTTCCGGAAGTACAACCTGCGCGCCGGCCGGAGCGGCGTCGCGGCGCATGGCGCGCGCGACGTGTTTCGCGCGCCGGAGTGCGCTCGAAGACGGCCGGCCGCTCGTGGCGCCCGTGCTTCCAGTACGTGTACGCCATGCTGATCTGGTAAAAGTCCGTCAGCAGCGGGCCGACGAGCGGGTTGACCGGCGTGCGGGCCTTTTTTCGCGCGGTCGTCGTCGGGCTGCAGGCCATCGTTTTTTTGGTGTTTCTTTTGTGTTGCGGCGTGGGTTATGTCTTGCGGCGTCGTCGTGGACAGGCTGCGGCGTTCTTCGCTTTGTGGGAATTCCCGGACGGCTCAGTATGTCATACTCGCTTGTGGCAGCTTTGCCCTCGGCAACGTTCAAGATCGTTCTTCGCGCAGAGCGCGCCGGCGCGCGGGAGGGCTGTGTGTTGCGACCGGTGTTAAACCTAAAATTACTTCTCGTACGGTGGCATGCGCGGGAAGTTCTCGGCGAGCCACCGGGCGTCCGAGAGCCGTCGCAACTTGGAGAAGTAGCGTTCGAAATTGCCGCCGCGGCTCGGAGGAGCAGGTAGTCGCGGGGAAAAGCGCTAGAAAAGCGCCTCGATGCTAGAAGCCCGCTGTTTTTTGAAACGCTGGAGTTTCGCCTCGGCGGCCGCCGACTCGGCCGCGTCGTACTCGCGGCCGCGCTCCGCCGCCTCCCGAGCCTCCCGAGCCTCCGCCGCGAACCACTCGTCCGCGCCGACGCGTGTCCTCCGATTCGTGCCGTCCCAGGGCGTCGACCGCAAGCTCACGCTGGCGCTCTGCGACGCCGCGGCTGCCGCGACGGGCGGCCACACCGTCGTCGCGCTCGAATCGCGGCGCGCCGCGGTCGGCGACGCCGCGTTCTCGGCCGCGGCCGGGCGCAGGAGCGCAAGGCGCGCCGTACGCGCGTGACGCTGCTCGTGGCCTTGATCCGCAAGGACACGCCGGGCGCCGTCTTCTCCTCCATCTTCTCCCTCTATGCCAGCGCGCGCAGCACGCGCGAAGCTCGCGCGCGGTGTTTTGTACGCTAAAATGTCGCAAAAATGCTGAAAAAACTCGCTGCAGACGCGCGAGAGCGCGTAGGGACGCAAAAAAGGGAAAAGAGGGCGAGAGATGCAAAAAAAATGCGTTCCGATACCGGGACTCGAACCCGAGTCTCGAGCGTGAGAGGCTCATATGCTAACCGCCTACACCATATCGGATAGGACGAACGGAACCGGCGACCTCGCGAGAGGCGCTGGCGACCTCGTAGGTCGATGGGATTACGAGACCTCACGAAAATGTGGCTCCTGAAACCCGGCTTCGGCCGCTTCGGCATCGAAGCGGGCTACGGGTTGGAGCATGGCCAGCGTTTGAAAAACAGCGACGCGCAGCTCGACGCAGCGGCCACCGAACCGCACTACCTGTCCATATCGCAGGACCTCACGTCGGAGCTACAGCAGCTCCAGCAGCAGCAGTAAGCCGTCGCCGCCCGTCAACGCGGGCTTCGCCGACGGCTTGCGTCGCCCGGCCGAGGAAGGCCCGGAGCGCGTCGTCGGCCGCGCCGGGCGCCGCCGTCTCGTAGCGCGGCCGCCGCCGGCTCTTCCGCGCGGCCTGCTCGGCGGCGCGCCGCGCTCGTCCAGCGCTCGCCGCGCGTAGGCGCTCGTCCAGCGCTCGCCGCGCGACGAGCTCCTCACCGCGCCAAAGACAACACGCGACCGATGCAATCCGACCGCCGCACCATGGACCGCCAGCACCGCGACGACCGCCGCTACGGAGGCGACCGCCGCTACGAAGGCGACCGCCGCCACCGCGACGACCGCTACCACAAAGACGATCGCCACCGGAAAGACGACCGCTACCGCCGCGACGACCGCCGCCACGACAACCTCAAGAAGCGCAGCCGCTCGCGGTCGAGAAGCCCGAATGCAAAAAGGATCCGCCGCGGCGACGCGGCGTCGCCCGACAAACCAAATCCCCCGGCGCCGTCGACGCTCGCGGCGAACGAGAAGGAGACGGACGCGCGGCGCCTGTCCCAGCGGCGCAAGGAGATCACCTACGGCAAGAACACGCTCGGCTACGACCGCTACACGCGCCTCGTGCCCAAGGAGAAGCGGTCCCGCCAGGACCCGCGGACGCCGGACGTCACGGGCAAGTACTCGAAGCGCCAGTTCGACGGCAGGGCAGGAAAGGAGTGATTCAAGTTCGCTTCAACAGGAGTGCCGGAAAAAGCATCCGCGCGTCGAGAGCGCTCCGAGAGATGATCGCTCGTCCAAAAATTAGCCGAAATGAGTGGAAAACGACCGAGAGAGGAGCCTCCAAAGTTGGGAATTTCGCACTCTTTTCCTGCCAGGTTCGACGGCATCGTCAAGGCCTGGCGCCGCCGGCTCCACGAGTGGGACCCGCCCGCGGACGAGCTCGGCCCGTCGGTCGTGCCCGCGCAGGCCGCCGCGCCGCCGCCCGCGCCCGCGGTCGCGGCGGCCGCGGAGCCGCCCGCGGAGCCGGCGCCGCGCGCGATGGACCAGGACGACGACTTCGGCCCGGACCTCTTCGCCGCCCCCGCGCCGGACGTCGCGGCCGTCGCGGCCGTCGCGGACGTCGCGGCGCCGGCGCCGGCCGCCGCGCCGACGCCGCTCGCGGATCCCGGCCCGCCGCGCGCCGCGGCGCCGGCGCTCGACGACGACTCCGACGACGACCTGCTGTAAGGGGGGCGCGTCGTTAGTGGAGGTCGCGCTCTCTATCCTGCTAAATTTCGACACGCGTCCGAGGGCGGCGGAGGCCTCCGTAGGTCTCGTCCGCCGCCGAAGGTCCAGAATCGCAAAAGGAACTCGACAGAACCTCCTTGCAACAATGCGCGCCTCCGCTCTCCTCGTCTGCCTCGCCGCCGCTTCCGCCATCACCCCCCGCGGTGGCGCCCTCAAGAAGGCGCCTCGCACGTCGCGGCGTCCGCAATCGCATCTCGAAGGAATGTCTTGTTAAAACCCCTGGCGTATCCAATCGCCGACTCGCTCCCACAACTATGCCCACGCAACTGACCCCCGCCCCGCGTCTCGACGCGTCGAACGCGCCCGCAATCACCAGAAGAGACGCGTACAAATCGCCGGAAGAGACGCGCGCGCGAGATCGTTTTCGACGATCGGGTCGCGCGGAAACTCGCTCGACGATCGCGTCGCGCGCCAAACCACGACGACCACGACACAGGCGCCAAGGCCCTCGTCGTGCGCGGCGGCGGCATGGTCGAGCCGGCGACGGCGATCAAGGCGTCGACGGCGATCTTCGGCCTCTACGCGGCGCAGATGCTCCTCGTGCCCAAGTTCATGATCGAGCAGAACTTCAAGACCGTCGCGGATCCGTACACGGCCTTCTTCGCGCGCGTCTGCGGCCTCTTCTGCGCGTCCTACCTCTACTGCATCAACACGCTCGACGCGAGCACGGCGCTCGCCATCTCGGGCGTGACGACGGTGCTCTGCTCGATCCTCGGCCCGGTCCTCGGCGAGCTCCGCGTCGACGGCATCGAGCCGAACACGGCCCACGGCGCGGTGTACGTGCTCTTCCCCCTGCTCCTGGCCCTCCACGCGCTCGCCCTCTGAGCGCGCGCCGAGCATCTCCGCGAGCCGCACAAGGCGCCGCGAGTCTAAGAGCTAACGACGAGCCACGCAGCACACAAACACCATTAGAGGCCGTGGTGGCCCGGCGGCGGAGGATAGCCGTGGAGTCCCGGCGGCCTCCGCCGGCAGAAGCACTCCGGCTTCGCGCAGGTCGAGTCGAGCGGCCGCGCCGCGGGGTAGCGGAGCTGCGGCACCACCGACCTCACCGTCGCGCGCCACTCCGTGTCGCCGTCCAGCGGCGCGCCGTCGGAGTGGTCCTCCGCGGAGACGCGCACGCCCGCGCGCCAGTCGAGGCCGAGGCTCGCGGCGCGGCGCACGGGGACGCCGTCGACCGCGAAGCGCGCCTCGCCCCGGACCATGTCGACCTCGACGCGGACGGCGATGCGCCGCATGACGCGCCAGGCGTCGTCCAGTTCCGGCACGTGGCGCCCGTCTAAGACCGCGTAGGTCTGGGGCGCGCTCTGCGCCTCGTCCAGGTCTTCGTGGAGCAGCTCCTCCATGCGGAGCGTCGCGGCGCCGACGCGGAAGACCGCGCCGTCGTCGATGGCCGTGTAGGCGATCTCGAGGGCGACGACGCCGTGGCGGGGGAGGATGGGCTCGGCCACGATCACGGCGACGAAGCCCTGGTAGTGGCGCTCGATGGACCAGCCGATCTCGCGCCGGTCGTCGCCGAGGCGGTGCGGGCCGTCGGGCGCGAGGAACGTCGGCGCGAAGCGCGGCCAGTAGGCGGCCTTCGCGATGTCCTGGAGCACGACCCGCGGCAGGAGCCGCAGGTCGCTGCAGGCGCCGAGGCGCGCGTGGCCGCCCATGAGGAGGGCGATCACGGCGTCCGTCTCGACGTGGAGCGTCGCGAGCCGCCGCTCCGTGACCAGTTCGGCGGCGAGCGTCGAGGCCGGGTCGAGCGCCGCGCCTTTGTCGTCCGATGGGACCGCGCCGACCATGGTTGCTTCCGCGGCGGCGCGCGCACGCCCGGGAGGAGCCACAAGCCGAGCCTTTGGAAGTGCGGCAACACCTTGTGCAACGAGGGGGAAACTACGCATCGCGCTACGCGAGCGCGGCCTTGACGGCGTCGAGCTTGGCCTTGAGGGCGTCGCGCTCCTTGGAGACGAGCTTCAGCTTCAGCTTGGCGTCCGTGAGCTCCGCGACGAGCTCGTCGTTGGAGAGGGACCGCGGGTCGAGGTCCGAGGCCACGCGCGCGAGCTTCGTCTCCTCGAGGAGGCGGTGCGCGCCGTTGCGCAGGATGCAGTCGAAGGCGCGGGGCACGAAGCGCCGGGGGAAGTCCGGGTCCACGAGCGTCTCGTCGGGCGTCGTGCCGAACCACATGGCGACGTAGAACGGGAAGTGCATCGCGGCCAGCTGCCAGTCGCGCTTCAGGTCGTCGAAGGAGTAGTCGGTCACGCCGTAGGTCGTGAGGGCCGCGTGGTAGTGCTTCAGGGCGATGGGCTCGAGGCGGCGGCACTCGTCGATGGTGTAGCCTTCGATCAAAAAGAAGATGATGTCCTGGCAGCCCTTGCCGACGGCCGTGTACTGCCAGTCGATGAACGCGGGCACGGAGTTGGGCATCATGAACATGTTCGGCGGCTTGACGTCGCCGTGGTTGAACGTGTGGGGCTTCTTCGACAGCTCGTCCTGGACCCACGCGAACTTGTTGATGATCGCCTCGCCCGCCGCGAACGCCTCGGGCGGCAACTCCAGCGACCGCCGCGCGTCCGGCGTGGACCACTTCTCGACGAACTTGGGCCAGTAGGCGCTGAGGTCGTCGCCCCAGCCCGGCTGGTACCAGGGCCCGTTGTGCGGCTTCACGCCCAGCGCGCCCGACGCGAGCTCCGGCGCGTTCCAGAACGACGCGTGGTGCTTCGCGATGTGCCTGCGGTCGACGCGCGTGTGCATCCTTCCTCTCGATGGCACGTTTGGCTCGTCCGAACATCGGCGGGCGACGACCGCGCGTCCGAACGGGAAACGACGGTCCCGAAAGCGACGCGGGGCTCCCGACTGGATGGTCAGCAGCACGCCGGCGTCGTCGAGCTGGGGGCAGAGCACGGCGCCGGGCACGTCGAGGTCTTCGAGCAGGACGCCCTCGGTCGTCAGGCCCGTCTCGACGTCCTTGACGGACCCGAGCCACCGCGGCACGCGGATGGGCACGCGGTGGCTCAGCGTCTCGTAGAAGTGCCACTCGCGCTCGTAGAGCCGCAGGCGCATGGCGACGTCGTGGTCCGCGCTCGCCGGGCTCGCGATCTTCAGGATGGCCGTCTCCGGCCGCGCGGACACGGCGCCGCGCCGCGGCGCCGCCTCGACGCCGCCGCCGCCCGCGTCGCCCGCGGACGAGCCGCCCGGCGACCCGGGGCCGTAGTAGATCTTCACGCGCATCGTGTCGCAGATGTAGCCGCCCTTGAGCTTCGTCGCGTCCAGCTCGACGCGCGTCGCGGGGATGCCGTTGGACCGCAGGCCCGCGAGGCAGCGGCCGGCGACGTCGCGGCTGTCGGCGACCTCCATCTTCCACGTCTCGGGCTTCGTCGGGTCCTCGCGCTCCATGGCCGACATGGCGCCTGCTCCACAAGAGTTTTCTGGATGGCTGCAGAGGCTGCACGAGATGGGCAGCGTCAATGCCCAAAATAATTGTGTGAGCTCGACGGTTGATCTGAGATGAATCTGGGTGTGCCCCTTCAAGGAGAGACGTTGCCATTTTTCTTTAAAAAAACTCAAGTCGCTGGCCTACCCTTCCGGAAGAGCGCCGCGAGGCGCCGCTCGACGCGGCCCGGGCACTCGCAGCTCTCCGCCGCCGCCCCGGCGCAGGCCGCGTCGTCCGCGCCGCGGAGCGGCGTCGCGAAGCAGTCCCGCGCGCGCGCCGTGCAGTCGCGCGCGGCGGCGGTGCGCCCCTCGCAGGCCGCCTCGCGCGCCGGGAGCGACGCGTCGGGCCGGACGCCGCAGAGCTTGTCGTAGTGGATGTCCGTGTCGACGAGGAGCCGGCTGTGGTGCCGCTTCTTCTTGTGCGCGTAGGGCAGGACCTCCAGGAGCAGGCTCCCCGCGTCCATCCAGGGCGCGTTGACGAGGTGGGCGCCGTGGATGGACACGAGCACGTCGACGTTCGCGAAGCGCCGGAGCTGCGCGCAGAGGTCGCCCGGGTCGTCGTTCGGCACGGCGTCCACTTTAAAGTCGACGCGGCGGCCCGCGGCCGCCGCCGCGCGCGTCGCCAGCCCTCGAACAAAATCGACGTCGCGCACGCGGCGGTCCACGGGCCGCCCGCCGCAGAGCTCGACGCGCTTCGCGCCGCGGTGCACGGCCGCGGCGGCGTCCGTCCGCTCGAGCACGCGGACGACGACCGCGCCGTCATAATCTCGCCGCGGCGCCACGCCGCAGGCGTCGCGCGCCGCGCGCCGCGCCTTGGCGTGGGACCCGGCCAGGCGCCACTGCGGCGCCCTGTACTCGGGCGTGATCGTCCGCGCGTCGCCGCCGCACTCGGCGGGCTCCGGCGCGCCCTCGCCGACGAAGCGCACGCCCGGCAGCGTCGCGTTGAGCACGTCGCGCGACCAGGGCAGCGCCGGCCAGGGCCACCAGACGACGCGCGGCGCGCGCCGCGACAGCGCCGCGGCGACGATGCGGTACGTGAGCTCCTCGCCCTGGTGGCCCACGTTCTCCTTGAGCCGGCCCCGCTGCGGCGCCACCTTCCAGCACGCCGCGCTCGACGCCTGGAGCCCCGCGCGGCGGCGGCGCGCGGCGGCCGTCGCGGCGACCGCGACGACGACGACGAGGGCCCGCATCTCACGGCGGAGGCTCCATCGTTTGGGGATCGTTTGGGGCTGCCGAACTTGAACACGAGTTGAAGGTCAACCAAACCGGGAATACATAGGTTGATACATAGTGCGGGGGAGAGGCGGGGATAATGCGCTGCTAGAACGTGAAGTCGTTGGTGAAGGCCTCCTTGGACCAGTGGTAGATGGCGACGGCCTCCTTGAGCTTCTCGAGCGTTTTGTACTTGGCGAGGGTGTGGACGCACTCGCTCTTCTTGCTCTTCTCGCGCTTGAAGGCCTTCTCCGCGACGCCCGCGTCGTCGGCGGCGAGGCGCTCGTGGGACTCGCGGGGCACGAAGACGATCTGCGTGGTGGACGCGGCGCCGTTCTCGCGGTAGAGGCCCACGAGGGCCCCCGCGGCGTCGAAGGCCGGGAAGCCTAGGGGCCCGGCGCCGGCGCGGTCGGGCTTGAAGCGCTTCGCGAGGACCGTGGCGACGGCCTGCTCCGCGCGGCGGCTCTCGGCCGTCTCCGCAAAGGGCGGCAGCGGGTCCTCGTCGGCCGCGGCCGCGCCGGAGCCCGAGCCGTCGCCGTTGGCGCCGCCGACGTAGAGGGAGCTCACGCCCCGCGGGCCGAAGGACGGCTTCACGAGGCCCGGCGCCAGCGGCTCCGGGAACGCGCCGCCGGCCGGCGGCGGCGCGCCGCGCTGCGAGTCCTCGTACTGGTCGAGGATCTCGAGCACGCCCGTCGCCGACGTGCGCTGGCGGCTCAGCGACGGCGCCGGCATCAGCGGCTCGCCGGCGGCGAGCGCGCCGCGCGCGCGCTTGCGGCTCGGCCGCGCGCCGCCGCCGCCGTCCAAAAGCGCGGGCGCGACGTCGCGCTCGTAGGCCTCGCGGAGCCGGTCGATCAAGTCGTTGGGGTTGTCCATGGCGTACAGGGGCCGCGCCGTGTTCGGGCTGACGCCGTCGGCGAGCTTCTCGTAGCCGAGGTGGCGCCACTCGAAGGCGTCCAGGGCCGCCATGACGCCGTCGACCCAGCCGCGGACGCCGTCCGTGAGCTCGACGTCGCCGCCGGAGGACCACGGCGGCGGCGACGCCCAGTCGCTCTCCGACGGCGCCTTGGCCCGCGGCGGGCTCGGCTCGTCGCGCGCCGCCGACTGCGCCTTGCGGCGCTTGTTCCGTTTGCTCCGCACGGAGACGGCCATGGTGAGCGACGGCGCGACGTCGCAGTCCGCGGGCGACTCATCGACGTCGGGGGCGACCTCGATGCGGAAGGACTGGCCCTGGTGGTTCTTGGACACGTCCTCGATGCGCGCGCGGATGCGGCAGACGCCGCGCTTCGTTTCCAAGACGCCCGCGGCCGCGCCCGCGCCGCCGCCGCCGTCGGCCCAGACCTTGAGGACCTGCTGGTTCGTCACGGGCAGCTCCGAGGCGGCGTAGCGGAGGACGCACTTGAGGCGCACGTTGCGGTCCTTGACCAAATTCCGGCGGCCGTCGTGGAGGCTCACGTTGAGCTCGATGCACTTCTCGCGGCCGCCCTCGTCCTTGTACCAGACGGCGGCCTTGTCCTTGGTCTTCTTCTGCTCTTCGGGGTCGTGGTCGAGGACGCCGCCGCCCTCGATCTCGAGCTTGAGCCGCATGACCTTCATCGGCTCGGACCACGTCTCGACGGCGACGCCGTCGACGGCGCACGTCGCGCGGACGACGAAGGACCGGTTCTCGTGGTCCAGGCTCGCCTCGGCGACCTTGAGCTTCAGGGCGCAGGACCCCTGCTTGCCGACCGCGGGGCTCCCGCGGCCCTCGGTCTCCAGGAGGCTCGCCGGCGCGGCGGTCCGGTCCTCGAAGTGGAGGCTCAGGCTCACGGGCACGCTCCGCCCGCAGACGAGCTCGCTGCCGTCCATGAGCCAGAGCGTCGTCTCGAAGGCCTCCTTGGCGAAGGGGTGGCTCGGCACGTCCGCGAGCTTCAGGGAGAGGACCATGGTGTTTTTACTACTAGGTGATGGCCTTGTCGCTGCGGCGCGGGTTGGTCGCGACCGGTTGTTTTTCGGCGGCCGCGCGGCCTTGTCGCTCGCGATGGTGCGGCGGTCGCAGGAGGGCCCCTCGGCGGGAACGTCGAGGCTGGAGGCGACGAGCTTGGCTGCCAAGGCGAAGCGGTGCGCGGTGCGAGCCGGAGAGCCCTGGATTTTGAGGATCGTTTCTGGCATGTTCCGCCAGTTGGAGAGGCGCGCACAGGGGCGCGCACGGAGACGGTCCGCGCGCGTCGGCGCGGGGCTCGTTGCCCGCGGCGGCGGCCGTGTCGCGGCGTGGGGCCAGGAACTCTAGGACGATCGGCCGGCATTCGTCGACTCGCAGGAGGAGCTGCGTTTCGTCGACACCTGCTCAGGCTTGATCGTCATCGCGAACGCGGGCCGGACGGGGAACTGGCGGCGCCGCCAGACGAACGGGATTCGTCGTTTGTCGTGAACACGAAGCGGGGCACGCAGGACGTCTCCGCGGACCCCTTGCACCGCAGCTCGAAGAGGTGCGGCGACTCGGAGATGTTCACGACGACGTAGCGCGTGCGATGGCCTACTACGTCGGCACGGGCAAGCCGGGCGAGCGCGGCGCGAAGCACCACCCCTCAGCGAGTCGAGCCAGTTCCACATTTACTTCAACGCCGGCGTCGCGCTGGTCGGGAGCCACACGTAGTCGAAATCGCCAACTCGGAGGTTGAGGGTTTTAGTGTGTACTTCCGCTTGGGATCCAATGTGGTTGCGTCCAATACTGCGGTGTCTAACGCTGTGTCCTTGTTGTCTGAGTTCTGCCTTGCTAAGCCAGTGATGTGCTTGTGTGCGCACATGTAGACGGCTATGAGAGTGAATCGGGGAATGGCATTACCTAGTAGCTTATACGCTTCAGCTTCGTCCAGGGATTCAAGCCTGCTCTCCGCGTCTGGAGTGAGACTTGTGGCTCTGGATCCCTCCTTTATTGTCATGTATCTGTGCACATGTTTGTACTCGGGAGACTCTGGACTGCACCTACTCGACACATCGATAAGCATGTTGAAATCCGATGTGATAGTGGGGGCAGGCCCTGAGATCCTGTAGGCTGTCGTGCCTTTCCTGTTCCGTAGTTCAGGGTCATTTGTTTTGAACCTGCCGTAGGAGTGGCAAAGTGTGGCTCTTATCTTTGACCGAAGTGCATTTCTGGTATCTACATATCTCACTCCCCCTGATGCCAAAATGCATGAGCCTGGCGAGGCAACGTTGAGGAAAGCCACAACGTCTGCCGGGCGAGGCCCGGGAGGAGAAGCCTTTGGCACGCAGCTAAAGTACATGAAGCGACCATCACGCTCTGTTCCAAAGTACACATCACCTTGTGCGGGGCGCAGGAACGTGACTTTGATCTCAAACATGGTTTCATGTCTCTGCCTATGTCGCATTTCGCGTGCCAGCAGAGTGAACACAAACGCGAGTGACGGGTTCTTAAGACCTTGATACCTGTACGGTTGAGGTCCAATGACGTCAGTCAAACTACTATCCAGCAGGTGCACTGTCCGGCGACTGTGCAACCTCGCTGAGCCTGGTGCTACCTGGCACGTCGCTGTGACGCTAACCAGACAGACACCACAGACACAGAAGAGCGCTATGCACTCTGTGCCTGCTTGGCAGTCACTCCTTCAGTTCGCTGTCTATAAGACTTGAAACTGGATTAGAATGAATTAAGGAAGGGAAGGGAAAACTAGCAGGATACGCAGTAGGAGCGCAGTGGGGTAAGGTGCACTGCAACATCAAGATGCAGTTCACTGTTCACTGAAGATGAAGATAGAAATCTCTCTATCTCTCTATCCATGATCATGAGCGCGAGCGTGCCCAACCCCGGCCGCCGGGTCCGGGCCGGATCGGGAGGCCGAGGATCGAGCTGCGACGACAGCGTCGTCCCATGCTCATTAAGCACCTCGTCCTCGGCAGCGTCGCCGTCCGAGGTCTCGTCGCGCCGCGCGTCCTCGCCACCGCCTCGTCCGCGCGCCCGACGTCGCGCTCGCTGACCATGAGCGCCGCGCCGCCGCTGACCATCATGGTCAAGGTCGAGATCGAGGAGGCGCGCGTGCCGGCCTTCCTCGAGGCCATGAAGATCGACGCCGCGGGCAGCCGCGCCGAGGAGGGCTGCTACCGCTTCGACCTGCTCCAGGACAAGGCCGCGCCCAACACCTACTACTTCTACGAGGTCTACAAGGACTCGGCGGCCGTCGACGTCCACAAGACGTTCGACCACTACAAGGCCTGGGCGGACTTCAAAGCGGCGGGCGGCGTCATCTCCCAGGAGGTGACGAAGATGGACGCCGTCGACTTCACGTTCTAAAAAGTGTGTCGGTCCGCGCCGCGCGCGAGGCGTTCCCGCGCGCGCCGCCGCCGCGGTCCCGCGTCGGAGCGCCGAGGACTCCCGAAGCAGCGAGGACGCCCGAAGCAGCGCCGCCGTAAAGTTCGGTCTGGCAGCTCCGCACAAAGGAAACACACAGGCGAGGCGCGCGCGAGGCGTTCCCACGCGCGCCGCCGCCGCGGTCCCGCGTCGGAGCGCCGAGGACTCCCGAAGCAGCGAGGACTCCCGAAGCAGCGCCGCCGTAAAGTCCGGTCCCTAGCAGCTCCATATGGCCAAAACACAGGCGAGCCCGCTCGTTAGGCGGGAGCGGGGCGCGCGGGGTTTCGGGGAGCTTTTCGGGGACAACAGGCTTTCCTATGTGCAAGCCGGGACATGGTGGCTCAGCAGGCCGCCTTGGACGGCCGCTTGAAGACCCAGGACGGCAGCAGCCCGTAGAAGAGCCGGAGGAGCCGCGGGTCGGGCTTGAGCAGCGCGACGAGCTCGAGGATGACCTGGCGGCGCTCGACGTCGTCGCGGCCGTGGGTCACGAAGGCCCGGAAGAGCGTGAAGACGGGCGACCCCGGCGGGTGGGCCTCCTTGAGGGCCGCGGTGAAGCGCGCGCAGCGCGCGACGAGGTCGCCGCGCTTCCCGGCGGCGGCGGCGCCGCGCGGCTCCGGCCGGGGCCGCGGGTCCTTGACCGTGACGATGAGGGGCGCCGCGAGGGGCGGCGGCGGCGGCATGAGCGCCGCGGCGCGCATGAGGTCCGACTGGCGCGCCTTGTTCGAGGCCGCGACGCGCGCGACGAGGCGGTCGTCGAACGACGCGTTGCCGTCGGCGTTCTCGTCGGCCTCGCTCGTCCGCGCGCGCGACGACGACAGGGACAGGAGCGCGCTCAGCGCCGGGTCGTCGGGCGCCACGTCCCCGGGCGCCCCGGGGGCGTCGTCGCAGGGGGCGTTCGACGTTTTCGGGCCGCAGAGGTCGTCGTCGAGGCTGCCCGTCGCCGTCACGCAGACATCCGACCCGCTCTTGGGGATGAAGCTCGGCTGGAGCATGGTGCCGGACGGTTCGTGGGCGGGAGACGCGGGAAGAACAACAGTTCTGAGGGGCAGACTCAAGTGCCGAATGTTTTGAGATTGCTCCGAGGCGGGATTGTTTAACACCTCAGAAGCGCATCGTGGGCCTAGGATTGGGCTGCCAACATCAAGGTGCGCGATGTTGCCGTCGCCTCAGCCGCGGCGAGCTGAGCGCGAGTATTGCGCGCGCGCATCGAGCACCGCGCGCCCGTCGAGCGCACCGAGCACTGCGCACCACGAGGCGCACCCTCGGCGCGTCGCGCACATAGCAAACAAAACAGCGCACTCTCGGCGCGTCGCGCACAGAGCACAACATGATCATGTACGAGGAGACCTTCGTGGACCGCGAGTCGGAGCTCGACTGGGAGACGCTGGTCACGTCGACGACGGCGGCGGACCCGAACTCGCTCGCGGCGCCGGACAGCGCCGTGTCCAGTGCCATCCCCGCGCAGCAGTACGGCGGCGGCGGCGGCGGGAACGGCTTCAACGGCGGCGGCGGCTTCGGCGGCGGCGGCGGCTTCGACGACGCGGGCGCGCAGGGCAAGCTCTTCCTCGGCGGCATCGCCTGGACCACGGACGAGGAGGCGCTGCGCCACTACTTCGGCCAGTTCGGCGAGATCATCGACGTCGCGGTCATGCGGAACAAGGCCACCGGGGTGTCGCGGGGCTTCGGCTTCGTGACGTACGCGCGGCCCGGCTGCGTCGACGCGGTGCTCGGCCGGGACCACGTGCTCGACGGGCGGCGCGTCGACATCAAGCTCGCCGTGCCGCGGGACCGCGCGCCGGCGCCCCTCGTGAACACGGCCGACGGGCCCATCAACGGCGGGCCGCCGCCGACGATGGGCATGGGCGGGCGGCCGCCGATGGGCGGGCCGCCGCCGCCGCCGCCGCCGCCGATGATGGGCGCGCCGCCCATGGGCATGGGCGCGCCGCCCATGGGCGGGCCGCCGCCGCCCCACTTCGGCGGCGGCGCGCCGCCGGGCGGCGGCTTCGGGAACCAGAGCAACAAGTTCTTCGTCGGCGGCCTGCCGTCGGCCGTCGCGGACCCGGAGTTCCGCGGCTACTTCGAGCAGTTCGGCCAGCTCACGGACAGTATCGTCATGGTCGACCGGGGCACGAACCGGAGCCGCGGCTTCGGCTTCGTCACCTACGCGGATCCCGAGGCCGCGAACCGCGTCGCGTCGATGCAGCACCGGCTCCAGGGCAAGATCGTCGACGTCAAGCGCGCCGTGCCCGGTCCGGGCCAGGACGGCGGCGGCGGCGGCGGCGGCATGATGGGCGGCGGCATGGGCATGGGCGGCGGCGGCATGGGCGGCGGCGGCGGCTACTACGGCCCGCCGGGCGGCTTCCGGGGCTAGGCGACGTCCTAAAAAGCGAGGAGTGCCGGGGCTAGGCGACGTCCTAAAAAGCGAGGAGTGCCGGGGCTAGGCGACGTCCTAAAAAGCGAGGAGTGCGTTACGAGTCCGCCGATAGGATCGGCGCGGCGAGCGCGACAACCGTCCCCTCCGCGTCGCCGGCGAGGAGGACGCCGCCGGCGAGGTCGAGGCTCGCGACGGCCGCGGCGGACGCGCGGAGCGGCGCTCCGACGGGTCGGAGCGCCGCGGCGTCGAGGACCGCGACGCGGCCGTCGTCGAAGCCGACGGCGAGCGTTGCGCCGTCGGCGGCCATGGCCGTCGCCCTCGCGTCGCGGCCCCACTCGCGGATCGCGGGCCCGGCGAGCGTCCCCCGGACCGCGACGCCCGCGCCGTCCGCCGCGGCGACGGCGCCGCCGGCGAGGAGCGCGACGGCGAAGACGCGGCCCCGGCCCCGGCCCGGAGCGGCGGCGACGGCGCCGTCGGCGCGCCGCCAGAGCCGCAGCGACCCGTCGACGAGGCCGCCGAGGACCTAAAGGGTCGCGAAATGTCACGTGTGGGCGCGGTCGCTCGACGCGGCGCCGCGCGTGCGTCGCGTTGGCGTCGAGCGCGAGGACGTCGTGGCGGCGCCACGGCTCCGCGTCGCCCGGCGTCGGCCCCGAGTCGAGCGACAGCGCCGCGACGCCGCCGGCGACGAGGTCCACGGCCTCGCAGCCGACGACGGCGACGCCGTCGTCGAGGGGCGCGAGCGCCCGGGCCCAGCCTGCGAAGGACCATAAAAAATTCGTTGGAGAAAGAAACGCCGGGAAACGCGCCCGAGTCGCCCCGGCGGCTCCAGGCCACGTCCAACTCGTCGTCGAGCGCGATCACGCGCTTGTCCATCGTGCCCGCGTAGGCCGCCGCGCCGCCCGCTAACGCGAGCACGGGCGAGGCGAGCTCCGCGACGCGGCCCGGCGCGCCCGTGCGCGCGTCGAAGCTCTCGACGGCGCCGCCGCGGCCCCGGGCCGCGAGGGCCGTGCCGCCGCGGAGCGCGACGGCGCGCGCGGGCGCCCGCGCCGCGGGCACGGACCGCCAGAGGACCGCGGGGTTTTCCGGCGCCTCCGCGACCCACGCCGACGGTACCTCCTCGCCGCCGTCGAGGGCCCCCCTGGCGCGGCGCCCGTCGAAGAAGACGCGGGCCCAGGCGCCCCGCGGCGCGTCCGCTTCGTTCGTGGGCCGCCAGCGGAGCGACGCGCCGCAGTGCGCGTCGGGCCGGTCGGTGACGGTCCCGTGCACGAGGTCGAGCACGTGGGGCCCGCCGGCGAGCGCGTAGGTGCCGCCGCTCAGTCTCGGCGCGCCGCCGGCGCCGACGGGCGCCTCGTGTAAAACGTGCTCCATGCACGTCTTGGCGTCGCCGACCGCCGGCAGCACGTGTCGCCGGTACCAGCCCGCCGTCGCGAAGTGCGCCTGGTCCGAGAAGCCGCCGCGGAGGTCTCTCAGCCAGCCGTCGGCGCGCGGCGCGTCGCCGAACCAGTGCGCGAAGCGCGGCGACCCGTCCGCGTCGCGGTCCAGCAGCACGTAGTCCACGGGCGACTCCAGGTCGCGGAGCGCCGCCGCGACGCGCGCCGCGGGCGGCGCCGCGCACAGCCGGAGGTCGTGCTGCGTGACGAAGACGACGGCGTCGTCGGCCAGGCCGTCCAGGCCCGCGCGCACGGAGCCCGCGAGGTGGCCGAAGGACGGCCGCCGGTCGAGCGTCGTCCGGGGGCGCGCGGCGCAGAGGGTTTCCGCGGCTGCGAGGTACGCGTCGTAGGCGTCGCGCTGGCCCGCCCAGGCGTCGCGCCACTTGCCGCCGTCGAGGTCGTCGAGGGTCTCCGCCTCGCCGGGCGCCGGCAGCGCGTCGGCGACGACGACGGTCTCCGCCGCGTCGAGGCGCGCGAGGCTCTCGAGGGTGACGCGCAGCGGCGTGAGGTCCGGCGTCCACGGCGCGACGCTCGTCGCGACGATGACGCGCGATATGAGATGCATTTGGGATTGCAGCTCGCGGCGACGACGAGGGATGCAGCGCTGCGGCTCGCACGGATAGTCGCAATCACAGCTCCGCCATTGCGCTGAGGAGCAGCTCCATGCTCACAAATTCACCATTCGTTCACCAAGCCAGCGATGCAGATCTCGCAGGCAATGAAAATTAAAGCGGGATCATAGTATTTGATCAGTGCTGCACGTTTCCTTCATTACCTAAGGTAAGTAAGCATCATTGAAGAAGTGTGCCCGCGCTGGGGCAGCCTTTGCAAAACGCTTCGAGAAGTGAGGGGCTCTCCGCTGCGGTGGCTGTGCGGGGCCTGCACCCTCGGACCGGCGCCGCCGCCGCGCCGCCCGCCGGGCGCCGCTTCGCCGCCGCCGCGGCGTCGGAGGCCGCGAGGCCGGATTTCGTGCAGCGCTCCGCCCATGGATCGCTCCGAGTCCTGACAACACGGAGAGCAGGGGCGGCTTCCACGGGGTGATGAAGACGCCCCGGGGCGGCGACGAGGCCAAGGCCGCCGCGCCGGCGCCGCCCATCGCCCGGCCGCGCGCGACGGCCTCGGGCCCCGGCGGCTTCATGAGCGCGAAGCCGTCGCCGCGCGGCGGGACCGTCCGGTCCTTCGGGGCGACGTTCAAGGTCGCGCCGGCGGCGGAGCGCGGCGCGAAGCCGGGCGACGCCCGGAACGGCGACGGCCGGCGGTCCTGGGAGCTGCGGAGCCGGTCCATGCTCGCCGCGGGCGCGGCCGCGCGCGCGGGCGTCGCGGCGCCGGGCAAGGGCGGCGCGTCGCTCCGGAAGCTCGGCAGCTTCCACCGCTTCGTGGGCGGCGCGGAGCGGGCCGCGAACCGCGCCGGGTCCATCGCCTTTGGGATCGGCGCGTCGGCGTCCTACGGCTGGGCCGCGGCGACGCGGAGCGGCCGGAGCGCCGACGGCGAGGCGAAGGAGCGCGCGGTCTGGGGCGTCGCGGACTACCTGCTCGGCGACCCCTTCGGCCAGTGCGTGCTGTTGGGCGTCGTGGCCCTCTGCCAGATCGCCGTGGGCACGGGCATGTGGTGCGTGACGGGCGGCGTCGACGGCTACGCGTCGACGGGCCTCTTCCAGAGCGCGTGGATCTCGTGGACGCTCTTCTTCGACCCGGGGACGCAGACGTCGATCCCCGCCGACGAGCGCGTCCTGCCCAAGCTCGTGGCCATCGTCCTCTCCGTGAGCGGCTTCGCCTTCAACCTCGTGGTCATGGGGTTGATCGTGGAGTACGTGCGGAAGACGCTGCGGTGGTGGCGGCTCACGCGGGGCCGCGTGGTCCTCAACGACCACGTCGTGATTCTCGGGTGGACGGACCGGACGCTGTTTTTGTGCTCCGAGCTCTGCGAGATGGCCCAGTGCTCGCAGCGGACGAACCAGACCATCGTCATCCTCGGCGACATCGAGGAGGACGAGATGCGCGCGGAGATACGGCTCACGTTCCCCAACTGGTCCACGTCCTGGCCGGGCGTGCGCGTCAAGGTCGTCAACGGCAAGGCCTTCGAGGTCGACGACCTGATGAAGGTCTCGGTGCAGTCCGCGTCCATCGTCGTCTGCCTGGCGGCGTCGCGGACGCCGCGGAAGTCCGACTCGCAGACCATCACGACGGTGCTGGCGCTCTGCGCTCTCTACACGGGCATCAGCGGCATGCTCATCAGCGAGCTCCGGCTGGGCCAGTCCGTGCCCATCGTGCGCCAGCTCGGCGGGCGCCACGTCGTGCCCATCGTGACGACGACGGTCGTCGACGCGGTGCTCGCGGAGTGCCTCATGGACCCTACCGTGGGCAACGGCTACCTCGATATTATGACGTCGGAGGGCAACGACATCGAGTCGCTCTCCGCCGACGCCGCGGGGCTCGTCAAGTGCACGTTCGGCGAGGCGAGGCGCCGGTTCCCGCGCGCGGTGCTCTGCGGCGTCGCGGAGGCGCCCGCGGCGTCCGAGGACCACTTCCTGACGACGGTGCCGGCCATCGCGCCGCCCGACGACCTCGTGATCCGCGCGGGCGAGGTGTTGTTGTTCATGGCCGACTCGAAGGACGCGCTGTCGCTCGACGACTCGTGCGCGGCCGAGGCCGAGGCCGAGGGCCGCGGGGAGCGGCACCTCGCGCCCCGCAGCGCCAAGGACGCGCGGGGCGACGGGCGGCGCAAGTTCATCGTCATTCTCGGGTGGCAGCGGTCCGTCGCGCGCGTCCTCGCGGAGCTCGACAAGCGGCTGGGACCGGGCTCCGTCGCGCACGCGCTCTCCGTGGCGCCCCTCGAGAAGCGGCGCCGCGAGCTGCTGGCCGTGCAGACGCTGGAGAACCTGCGGGTCGTCCACCACGTGGGCTACCCGACGGACGCGGCGGAGATCGAGCGGCTGCCGCTCTCGGACGCGGACGTCGCGCTCATCGTCGCGGACATCGACGACGACATCGAGGGCCACGGCGGCAGCGAGCTCCAGATCGCCGACAGCGAGGTCTACACGGCGACGTTTTTACTCAGAGCCCAGTGCGAGGACGTGCCCATCGTCGCGGAGTTCTCGGACGTGCTGACGATGCGGTTGTTGAAGCAGCAGCCGGACATCCTGCGGTCCCTCCAGTTCGCGACGCTCGACACGCTCGACGCGAACGCGCCCGTCAAGGCGCTCTACCGCGCGGGGGACGTCGTCGCGGGGGCACCGGCGCCCGGGCCCGCGGGCGGCGCCGCGGACGTCGCCGCGGCCGCGCCGGCCGCGCGCGCGCCGCGCTCGACGCTGCTGCCGTTCCATCGGAACTTCCTCGAGACGGCGGCGCTGTCCGTGTCGGCCAACGGCCTCGTGTGCTGGGACGCGCTCCAGGCGCTGTTGGGCGTCTACGACGCGCGGCAGATGCGGCAGGCGAAGATCCGCGCGGACGGCGCGGACGCGTACGTGCGCCCGGCGGAGCTGCGCGTCGACGGCCGCCAGCTCGGCGAGCGGCTGAGTTTCATCCAGCTCGCGGAGCGCGTGCGCATCCAGACGGGCGGGCTGCTCGTGGGCTGGCGCCGCGCGGACGGCAAGGGCGAGACCGAGGCCGCGTTCCGCGGGAGCGCGGGCGACAGCGAGCCGTCGCTGAACCCGGCCAACAAGCACGAGAAGGTCACCTGGGGCACCGACGACGTGCTCCTCGTGCTCCTGGGCAACTGCGACGCGCGCGCGCGGCCCGCGGACGCGCTCCTCGTCGAGACCTCGCCGCCGGACCCCGTGCTCGACATCGCGCCCTTCCCGCGGCCGACGCGCCAGGCGTCCAACGGCGACGTGCTCATCTCGGCGACGAACCTGATCTCGGACCTCGACGACCCCAAGGCGCACCGCGGCGCGCGGGACGTCGTCGCGCGCGACGGGAGCCGCCTCGCGGCGCCGGACCTCGCCGCCGCCGCGACCAACGGCGGCGGCAGCCCCCGGACCGACGGCAGCCCGCGCGCGAAGAGCCCGCACAGATGGTAAGTTAGCGCCCCGCGCTCTAGAACTCGGCGTGCTTCTTGAACGGGTTCGCCTTGTGGAGCGCCTTCCTGAGGCCGTAGAACGCGCCCTTGCGGCGGTACTCGTTGCACTTCCTACGAGCGAACGGGTCGCGACGCGAGGCACGGGCGACGCGGCGCGGGCGGCGCGCTTGTCCACGAGCGCCTGCGCCTCTCCGGCCGTCGGCACGCGCATCCGCGGCGGCAGCATCTTCGTCGCCTCGCCGATCTTGTGGCAGTACCTAGGTCCGAGGGAACCGGCTCGCCCCGGCGTCGCGGCGCGCGCGCCGGCAGCGGTGCACGCAACATCGGACGCCGGCGTCGCGCTCGGCGCCCTCGGCGGCGCCAAAGTAGGCGCCGAGCGCCATCTCGCACAGCGACTCGATTTCGAATTCGACGCCGCAGCCCTTGGGCAGCTTGGCATCCGCCGATGCGAGCAGCAGGGCGAGGAGTGCTACGACGCGCCGCATGGTTGTAGCAGAGGCCGATCTTGTGCGTGAAAGCGCGCGCGGCGCCCAAGTTTCGGCTTCCGCGCAAAATCAGGATGATCTACCCTTGGATGCACTCGAATTGCAGCGGTGCCTCGCGAGGTGTGCCGGCGCCTCGTCGGTTCGCTGCGCGCAGCCTCATTCGCGTCGCTGCGCGCCGCCGCCTCGTTCGCGTCGCCGCGCGCCGCGGCCGTCGACGATGTCGCGGTCCGCGGAGGCGCACAGCGAGCGGAAACATGCGAACGAGGCGATGACGGTGGCGCACTTCGACGCGGCGAGCCACCTCGCGCCCGCGGCGCCGCCGCTCGCGCCGGGCCTCATGCCCCTCATGCCCCTGCCCGGCTTCCTGCCGCCGCCCGGGCTCGTCTACCCGGCGCCGGTCATGGCGCCGTTCCCCGGCGGCGGCGCGCTCGGCGCGCTCGGCGCGTTCCCGCCGCCGGGCCTGCTCCCGCGGCCGCCGCCGCCGCCGCCGGGCCTCCAGGCGATGCAGCTGCCGCCGGGGATCGCGGCCGTACGACCCCCGAGCACAAGGTAGCCCTTTCGCGGGGGTCGCCCTTTTTTTCCCGCGACGCTCCGCTCACGTCGCGACGCGTAGGTGCCCGGCGCGATGGAGAACTACAGCCGGTCCGCGCCGAACGTGCTCTTCCAGGGCGCGCTCGAGGGCCCGTCCGACGCCGACGCGCGCTACGCGGCGACGCCGGCCATGGTGCTCCACGGCAACCAGGAGACGTTCAACCTGAACCCGCTGCTGGCGAACTGCATCCTCAACCACGAGTACTCGCGGGTCCTGTGGGAGATGGGCCCGTCGTTCGACAAGCTCGTCGCCGAGGCGCGGACCAAGGTCACGCACGTCGAGCCCTGGCAGCGGGGCACGTCCCGGACGCCGTCGACGGCCTTCTGCATCGTCATGCGCCTCTTCCAGCTGAACCTGCACGAGGGCCACGTCCGCGCGCTGTTGGACCAGCGCGACGCGCCCTGGGTCCGGTGCGTCGGCTTCCTCTACCTCCGCTACGTCTGCCCGCCCGGCGACCTCTGGAAGTGGTGCGAGGACGTGCTCCTCGACGACGGCGCGGCGCCCGTGGAGCCCCGGGGCGACGTGAGCCTCTCGCAGTGGCTCCGGGGCCTGCTCACGGACCAAAAGTACTTCGGGACCATATTGCCGCGCATCCCGCTGAAGATCGAGCGCATGCTCAAGGTGCGCATGGTCCTCGCCGACGAGGCCGCGGCGCGCCGCGAGGCCAACGCGACCATGCTCGAGCGCCTCGCGCCGGGCGCGCGCGTCCGGGCCATCTACGGCGACGAGAAGAACGAGCCCGCGTGGTACGAGGCCGTCGTCGAGGGCGAGCCCGTCGAGTCCAAGGACGACGCGGGCGCCAAGGTCCTCAAGTACTGGGTCACGTTCCCCGAGTACGGCAACAGCGAGCTCGTGCGCCTCGGCGACATCGAGATCGACGGCCCGCCGCCGCCGGACGACGAGGAGGAGGAGGAGGACGCGCGGCCCGTGGGCAAGTACGCGAAGAAGCGCAAGACCGCCGCCGCGGGGCCGCCGCGGTCCGGCGAGTCCCTCCTCGCGGGGGACCGCATGGCCGAGGTCATCCGCAAGCAGCGCGACGCGTCCGCGTCCGCGAACCACTACACGCGGCGGCCCCAGGGCTACAAGGAGTCGCTCGCGCTCAAGGCCGACCGCTTCACGACGCGCGCCGCGAGCCCGACGAACCCGAAGTTCAAGGCCGACGACAAGGCCGACGACGACGCCGAGGAGGCGCCGGCGCCGGCGGCGCGCGACGACCGGAAGCGGCCGCGGAGCCCCCCGGAGGGCGACGGCCGCGACGCGCCGCGCCGCGACGACGACCGCGACCGCCGCGGCGACCGCGACCGCCGCGGCGACCGCCGCGACCGCGACCGGAGCCGCCGCGACCGCGGCGACGACCGCGACCGGAGCCGCCGCGACCGCGGCGACGACCGCGACCGCGACCGCAGCCGCCGCGACCGCGACCGCGACCGCAGCCGCCGCGACCGCGGCGACGGCGCCTACGACCGCCGCGACGACGGCGCCTACGACCACGGCGCCTACGACCGCCGCGACGACGGCCGCCGCGACGAGGGCGCCTACGACCGCCGCGACCGCGACCGCGGCGACGACCGCGACCGCGACCGCGGCGACGACCGCCGGCCGCCGCGCGCGCGCGCCGACGACGTCGAGGAGGGCGCGATCCCCGACGAGGGCCGGAACAAGGTCTACGTCTACGACGAGGACCGCGCCGACGACCGCGGCGCCTACGAGCGCCGCCGCGACGACCACTACGGCGCGCGGCGGTGAGGGGGCGGCTGTTAATCCGAACGGCATGGTCACTCGTCGTCTAACTAATCGGATGGCATCATTGCGAAGGCCTTCGTCGCACGTTGCTGTGCACGCAGCATTTCCGTGCCGTCGCACGACCTGCGGAACATTTTGACCATCGTCCGCGTCCGTGCTCCGTCGTGCGACGCAGTGGCGGGGTGCGAGGCGCCCCGGGCACAGGTTCCTGCGCCGGACCCCTAACCTCGCGAATTCCGTCGCTGTGGACGGCTGTGAACCCCTGCCCGCTGCGCGCCGTCGACCGCCGGCGGGTTTCCTTAGCTTTCTGCCACAAACAAAGGACCCACCCGTTCACAAAGCCCATGGCCGAGTCGGGCGACGACCTCGTGGACGACCCGCGGGCCGCCGTGGACCTGAAGAAGAAGGCCGCGGAGGTGAGCTCCGCGGTCGTGAACCGGACCTACGCGGCCGCGCACTTTGCGATCCAGACGCCGACGAGCCGCTACGTCGCCGCGGTGCTGGGCGAGTGCGCGCGCTACGCCGCCGCGCGGGCCGCGCGGGCCGTCGCGCGCGCGCAGCAGTCGGCGGCGGGCGACGCGGCGTACGACTGGAGCCACGCGGACGCGGTCTCCGGCGGCGAGCGGTGGTTGACGCTCAACTGGTACGAGCGGCAGCTGGTCGAGCCCAAGCCCGGCGAGGTGCCGCGCGTCGCCGAGGAGGCGGCGGCGCCGAGTGCGCTGCGGGAGGCCGCCGACGCGGACTTTGCGGGCTGGGCGGCGCGGCACGACGACGACGAGGAGGCGGGCTACCACTTGGCGACCTTGGCCGCCGTCGCGCCCGCGGCGTGGCAGCTCTCGACCGCGTGCGCGGCCTGCCGCGCGCCCTTCGGCCCGGCGCTCCACCGGCACCACTGCCGGCTCTGCGGCCGCTCCGTCTGCCGGCGCCACGGGGGGCGCTTCCGGCCCCTGCCGAGCCTCGCGGCGCACCTCGGCGCCGCGGCGCAGCGCGTCTGCGACGAGTGCGACGACGCGCTCGACGGGCTCGCCCGCGAGGAGCGCGCGGCCTGGCGCGTCTGCCGCGTCGCGGCGCTCCTGGACGACGGCGCGGTGGCGCCCTACTTCGACGTGCCGCGCGACACGACGGGCCACAAGGCGCGGCGCCTGCTCCGGGGCACCGTCGAGGTCGCGCGGCGGTGCCCGCTCCTCGCGCCGGCGACGGTGACGATCACCGTGGAGGTGCTGGAGATCCTGGTGCGCTACGGGCCCGCGGGGCTCGCGACCCTGGTGCTCCGGCGCGAGTTCGTCGAGGCCGCGGAGTTGCTGCGGCGCGTCGCGGGCGTCGACGCCGCGTGGCCGAAATCGGCGCACGAGCTCACGGCGGCCATCTACTACCTGCTCGCCTTCCGGCGCGGCGAGCGCGGCGCGGACCCGGAGCGGGAGCGGCGGGACCACGCGGGCGACGCGCCCTGCGACGGCGCGACGCTCGCGGAGCTCAAGGCCGCGGCGGCCGCGGCGCTCTGGTGCTACGCGGAGAGCCCGACGGCCGTGCAGCTCGTCGCGGGCCAGCAGGGCTGGACGCTGCTCTTCGAGCGGGGCTTCCTCGCCGAGCCCTTCGCGCCGGAGCGCGACGTCGTCGCGGAGCCCGCGTTCTTCTGCATCGCGTCCGGGCCCGGCCGGCCGCGCCGCGAGGTCACGCTCGCCGTCCGCGGCACGGCGTCCGTGCACGACGTCGCGACGGACATCCGCGCCGTGCCCGCGGCCTTCCCGCCGCCGCCGGACGGCGCCGGGGACTGGACGGCCGTCGGCGGCACCTTCGCGTTCGCGGGCATGGCGCGCGCGGCGCAGTACATCTTCGACGAGACGGCGCCCGCGCTCCGCGCGCTCGCGACGGCGGGCTACGGCATCGTGCTCACGGGCCACAGCCTCGGCGCGGGCGTCGCGTCGCTCCTCGCGGTGCTCGTCCGCGACGACCTCGACGGCAACGGCCTCGCGGCGAGCGCCGTCCGGTGCTTCGGCTTCGCCACGCCCGCGCGCGTCGCCGCGCGGACGTCACATCTTCAACCCGACTTCAATGTGATCGTAGTCGAATGGTTCGACACAAGCTCTTCGGCTTTGCTTCGAGGACTCGACGAGAGCGATCGATCCGTCCAAAAGTCAGCCGAATCGACTTCGATGTGACCGAGCTAGAGAAAGTTTGGTCGGGATGTCCCAAACCGGCGGTCGATTTCCACGCAGGTGCGTCGACGAGGTCCTCGCGCGGCGCTGCGAGCGCGGCGGCCTCGTGACGGCCGTCGTGCTCCACGACGACGTCGTCCCCCGGCTCACCGCGACGTCGCTCCGGCGCCTCATGTCCGAGCTCCTCCGCCAACGGGAGACGTGCATGGAGCACTGGCGCCAGGACCTCGACGCCGTCTGGGGGCGGCTCCGCCACGGCCTCTGGGCGCCCAAGTGGCGCGACTCCCTGCTCCGGGACCGCGACAGCGAGCCGCACCGCCGGCCCGCGGCGCCGCCCGCGGAAACGCCGGAGCCCGACGGCGCGGCCGCGGGCGACGCGGACGACGACGACGACGACGACGCGTCGTCGTCGGAGCGCCTCTTCCACGAGTGCGCGTCGGCGCTGCCCGCGCCGCCGCCCGCGCCCCCCCGGGACGGCGGCGGCGCCGCCGCCGCGCCGCCGCCGCCGCCGCCGCCGGAGGCCGCCGAACAGCAGCGCCGGTCGCCGAGCGACCGGGGGTCGTCGACGGGCGACGACTTCGACGCCGTCGACGACGACGGCGTCCACATGCCCGACCTCTACATCCCCGGGCGCGTCGTCCACGTCTACGCGTGGCGCGGCGTCTACCGGTCCGCCGTCGTCGACCGGCGCTGCGCGGCGCTCTCGGACGTCGCCGTGTCCGCGAATATGATCTCCGACCACAAGATGCGGTCCTACTTCGACGCGATCCGCGAGGTCTGCGACGTCGCGGCCGCGGCGGCGGACCCGCCCCAGTGGCAGCCCTTCCACACGGCCGATTCCTGCTCCTGCTGCTCCGCCAAGTTCACGTGGCACTGCACGTCGTCGTCCGAGTCGACGACGTACCGCGAGAAGCACAACTGCCGCGAGTGCGGCCTCCTCGTCTGCGACCCCTGCTCCAAGCACCGCCGCGTGCTCCCGGACCTCGGCCTCCTCCTCCCGAGCCGCGTCTGCGACCGCTGCTTCTTCCGGGCCACGGCCCGCGACGCCGCGCCCGGCGGCGGCGGCGGCGGCGACGCCGCGCTGTCGGGGGGGTCCTAGGTCGACGTAGAAGTTCGACTGGCGAGGGTGGTCGTCCGAGCGAGCGCGCCGCTTCGGGTCAGGCGCTAGCTTTCCTTCTTACGCTTCTTGAAGATGGCCGCCTTGACGGCGCGGTGCTCCGCCGCGCGAACGCGGACGCGGCGATCCTTGCCCTTCTCGACGCACCGGTGCCTCGCGAGCTGCGCGAGCGCCGCGCAGCCGCGGCCCGGCAGCCGCGACTCGCGGACGCGGTTCGCGTGGACGTGGGTGACCTCGACGAGGTGCAGCCCCGTGCAGTTGGCGTTCTCGAAGAAGAGCTCCGCGAGGCAGGGCTCGTCTAACATCTTCGCGAGCTTGAACCGCTTCCGGAGCTTCCGGAGCGCCGCGACGTAGTAGTCGCGGAGGCACGCGGGGCAGACGAGCTCGTCGTCGACGCGCGCGGCGCCCGCGAGGAGCTGGCGCACGCGCCAGGGCTTGCGCTCGAGCTCCGCGACGACGTCCGCGACGTCCGCGGCGCCGACGGCCGCGTGCGTCGCGCCGGCCGCGAGCGCGGGGAAGTACCACTCGACGAAGGGCGCGCGCCAGAGGAGCACGACGCCCCCCGCGGCCCAGAGGTGGTTCAGGTTCCGCGAGTAGGACCCCGCCGTCGAGCCCGGCAGGTTGAGGAGGTAGCGGTAGTCCGTGTAGTTCTCGCGCGCGACGAAACCGCCGACGGCGAGCGCGGGCGCGTCGCGGATCCGCGCCATGGCGGCCGTGTAGGGGAGCGTCGGGCAGGGCCGGGCGCGGTCGTCGCGGGGCTGGCACTGGGCGAGCTCCACGCACTTGACGTCGAGGACGTCGGGTCTATCCGTTCCCGCGGCGACGGCGGCGAGCCGCGCGTGGTTGCCCGCCTCGGCCGCGCAGGGGTCGCCGACGACGTGCCAGCTGTCGGCCAGATGGCCCCGCCAGAAGGCCACGGGTTTTCGGTCCCGGAAGGGCCTGGCCGCCGCCGCGCCGCGGACGCGCGCGCGGACCGCGGCCCACGAGGCCAGATCCTCGTAGTAGGGATTCGGCGTCAGCACGCCGCGCATGGCGTGGCCGCTCACCTTGGCGATGACGAGGCAGGGCGACGGGACGGCGTGGTCCGGCGCGTCGGCCTCGCAGCGGCCCGTGGAGTCGCCGGAGAAGAAGTACGCGCCGTTCGGCACCGGGCCCCGCGCGGCCGCGGACGCGACGAACGCCGCGTGCTTCGCGGCCTTGTCGCCCTCGAGCAGGCGCCGGTCCACGACGACCTTGCCCTCGTAGACGAGCACGCTGAACTTGCGCATCCAGAGCACGCGCGCGAGGTACCGCGCGGCGTCCTCCGTGCGGTTCGCCACCGCCGGGTACTTGTGGAGCGACGCGTCGAGCGCCGCCGCCAGGCGGTCCTGGAACTCGCCGCCGCTGCCGCGGCGCAGCAGCAGGAGGAGGAGCATCGCGCGCATCATCGCGAGGACTGTGCGGATCATCGTTCGGGCAGCATGCGCGTCGCCATCGTTTAGTCACTGCGGCAACATGGCGTTTTATCGGATTATTGAACTTTTCATCGGGGACGGGGCTTGCTCCTCCACTTTTCGGCTTTGGTCGACCGCCCCGCGCCGCAGCCATGACGGGCTTCCAGGAGTTCCAGCAGCCGACGCATGCCTACAACCCGTGGATCGGCGCCAAGCCGGACCACAACATGGAGTCGGCGTCCGAGAGGGAATGGAAGCGCCTCGAGGCCAAGGGCGTCGTCGACAAGTTCCGCCGCCTCATCCCCAAGCCCAAGCCCGGCGAGGGCGTCACCCACAAACACCAGTACCCCCTGGGCGAGGGCCGCAAGTGGCCGCACGCACGCCCGCGTCCCTCTACGATGGGGCGTTCCGCCGCGCGCCCCGCCGCGGACGCGCGCTCTATCCCCGCCGCGGACGCGCGCTCTCCCCCCCCGTCGCGGACGCGCCCCTCCCGCGCGCAGGCAGCACGATTGCCCCTACGACAACGGGCAGCCGGGCCCCGTCGTCGCCAGCAGCCTCGAGCGGCGCGAGTGAGCGTCCTCCGACGCGCGCGGCCCCGGCGTGCCGGGGCGGTAAGATCTGTAGAAAGGACCGCGGTCTCCGGAGCGCCGTTACTTCTTCTTCGCGAACTTGGCGGCCTGGCGCTTCGGGAGCGCCAGCGCGGCCGCGGTCTCCCGGAGGCCCTCGAGCTTGACGATGGGCTCGAGGTGGTAGTCGTCGAAGGGGTTGTCCGGGACGAGGTTGAGCTGCGGCGCGCGGACGCGGCGGATGCCGCGCTTGACGGAGTCCATGGACGTGCGCAGGCACGTGTCGAGGCGCAGCGACCCGGCCCAGCGGACGCGGCGCGCGGGCGGCCGGAGCCAGCGCCGGACCGTCGGCGCGCAGGCCTCGACGGCGCGCGACAGGGCGAGGGCGACGTTGAGGTAGGCCGCGTAGGACGACACGAAGAGGCGCAGGGACGCCGCGAGGACCAGCGACGCGAGGAACCAGGCCGCCACGTTCCAGCGCGGCGCGGGCGGCCGCGCGTCCCAGGGCCGCGCGGCCGCGTCCAGGAGCCCCGCGATCGTCGCGCCGCGCTCCGCGGCGGCCGCGGCGGCGTCGATGACGCGTTTCGGGTCGGCGACGAGGGGCGCGCAGTGGGCCCGGGCCCGCGACAGCAGGGCCGCGGCGTCGGGCGAGCCGAAGTCGAGGAGCGCGCCGCGGTCCGACGCGAAGACCCCCGGCGGCGCGTCGCCGTGGGCCGCGCTCGAGCCGACCTGGTCCACGAAGCCCGGGCCGTCCTGGACCAGCGCCGGCGTGCCGCAGACCGCCGCCTCGGCGCACGTGTTCCCGAAGGTCTCGAAGTCGGACGCGGAGACGAGGAAGTCGAGCGCGCGGTACGTCGCCGCGAGCTCGGGCCCCCGCCGGCGCATGCCCCGGCGCACGACGACGCGCGGCGGGTCGTGCCAGGCCTCGACGTCGCGCGCGATGGCCTCGTCGGCCGCGTCGCCGACGACGACGAGCGTGAAGTCGTCGCATTTTTGAGCGCACGCGACCAAAAGTCGCATGCGCTTCTCCGCGGACCAGCGGCCGACGTAGCCCAGCAGGGCGCGGTCGCCGGACCCCGCGAGGCGCCGGCGCTCGGCGCGCACCGTCGCGTCGTCGAGGGCCGCCGCGCATGTCGCGAGGTCCGCCGCGGGCACGGGCCGGTAGTGCGCGAGCGCCGCGGCGCTCGGCACGACGCCGCGCTCCGCGAGCACGCGCGCGAAGCTCTCGCTCGTCGTCGCGCAGCGCGCGCTGAGCGCGGCCGTGATGGCCTGGGACAGCGACGCGGCCGCGGGCACGCCGCCGGGCAGCTTCGACCCGTCCGTGTGCACGCTGTAGACGAGCGGCACGCGCGCCGCGCGGCAGAGCAGCGCGAGGTTCACGTCGTTGAAGAGGTCCGTGACGACCATGACGTCGGGCCGGAACTGCGCGAAGCGCCGCCAGAGCGCCCACATCCACGTCGGCGACGGCGCCTGCGGGGGTCGAGATTCGCGCCGCGAATCGCGCGCGCGGTCGGGGACGCGGCGCGCGCGCGTCCGTGAGCGTCTTCGGGAAGAAGGGGTGGACGCAGCGCGGGATGCGCTGGCCCGCGTCCGCCGCGTCGACGGTCCAGAGGTCCACGACCCAGCCGCTCGCCTCGAGCTCCCTCGTGTAGCCCCGCCAGCGCGGCGCGACGCCGCCGGCGCCGACGACGTCCGTCACCGACGGCACGGCGATGAGGGCGCGCTTGACGCGGGCGTTCGTCATCGTCGTTTTTATGCGATGCGCGCACGAGATTCGATGCGTCTATGCCCACCGCCAACGCTTGTGGCGGCTTTGCTTCGCGGTTCACGATCGACATTCTGCCCTTCAACCGCGGGCATCGCGCTTGCAAAAAATCAGTTGACGCTGCCCTCGCGCGCCCCCTTCCCCCGGCCCTGCTTCTCGCGCGCGGCGACGGCGACGGCCAGCACGACGAGCGCCGTGGCGCCGCCCTCCCTGGCCCCGTAGGTCGACGAGCCCGGCGCGAGCGCGAGCGCGACGAGGGCCGTGAGCGGCGGCTGGACCGCGTTGTAGAGGACGAGCGTCGCCGCGTCGACGTGGCGGTTCGCCCAGGCGCGGAGCGAGTAGCCGACGACGCTGCTCAGCACCGCCGCGTAGGCGAGCGCGGCGAGCGCCGTCGGCCGGGCGACGCGCGCGGCCGCGCCGGCGCTCAGCGGCGCGGGCGCCTCGAGGCCCGCGGCGCCGTCGACGACCGCGGCGCAGGCCATGACGACGCAGGAGCCGACGCAGGCGTGCGCCGTGAGCGTCACGGGGCCCCACGGCTCGCGCGCGGCGCCGCGCGCGCCGAGGAGCGCGTCGCCGCCCGTCTCCCCGTCGTCGTCGTCGTCGGACGCCGCGCCGTCGTCGCCCCGGACCAGCTGCTTCTGGAGCAGGCAGTAGGTCGCGATGCCGACGCCCTGGCAGAACAGCAGGCACGAGCCCAGGCCCGCGCGCCACCGGGGGCCCGCGGCGGCGGCGGCGGCGCCGCCGCCGAGCTGCAGCAGCGCGACGCCGCCGCCGGCGAGGACCGCGGAGCCCAGCTTCGCGAGCGTGCAGGGCTCCAGGCCGACGGCCGCGCCGATGACGGCCGCCGTCGACGGCTCGACGCACTGGAACAGCGCCGCGGCCGTCGGCGACGTCCACGCCACCCCCACCGCGAAGCAGAGCTGGAAGAGGCCGAGGACGACGCCGAAGCTCGCCATGTAGCGCCACTCGCGCGGAGTCGCGGGGAAGCGCACGGGCGCCTCGGCGCGCGACGCCCAGGCGTAGAGCAGCGGGATGGCCACGAGCTCGCGGCAGAGCGAGAAGGTCACGGGGCTCAAATGCTTCAGCGATGCCGCCAGGAGGACGTTGTAGCCGGAATAGATGCCCGCGGCGAAGAAGAGCGCGACGTGCGCGAGGCGGATCTTGTTCATGGTTCGGGGGCCTAGGTTAAGTGGTTCGGGGCTCAGCCTCTGTCCATGCTCCCTCTATTCTCCACAAGTTTTTGCGAGCGTTTGGGTTGAACCTCAACTAGCCTCACTTGAGGTCAAGCAGAATTATCTAGCAGAATTCTCGAGGCTGCCCCAAGTCCTGCCCGAGCGTCGCGAGCTCCGACGCGCGGACGATGGTGGCGCTCGACGCCGCGACGTCGCTCATGGGCGAGGACGCGAACGCGGCCGCCGACGACGCGTACTCGATGCTGCACGAGGACGCGCGGCTGGCCGCCGACTCGGCCCGCGCCCGGAGCCAGGGCCCCTGGACGAAGAACCTGCACTTCCGCCCGCCGTCGGGCTTCTGGGGCGATGCCGAGTGGTACGACCTGCAGCTCGAGCGCCGGCTGCCGGAGGTAAAACCCATGCTCGACGAGGTCGTCTTCGCGCTGCCGCCGCTCGGCGGCGGCGGCGTCTGCGACGTCTGCGCCGGGTCCGGCCGCGCGTCCGCGGCGATCCGCGCCGCCTACCCGCGCGCGCGCCTCACGCTCGTCGACGTCGACGCCGGTCGCCTCGATATCGCCGCCCGCCGCGTCGCGCCGCCCGCGACCTTCGTCGCGGCGCCGATCGCGCCCGAGGCGCCGACGCTGCCCGAGGCGCCCTACGACGCCGTCGTCTTTTAAAAAAAAGTCTTTTTTTTTTAAAGTCCTGGTGCTGGCGCTGCGCCACGTCGTCGCGCCGGCGCCGCACTACGCGGACCGCCACGGCCTCGCGGTCGCCGCCACGATCGGCGAGGCCTACCGCGCCCTGTTCAACCAGATCTTCTGCTCGCTCCGGCCCGGCGGCCACGTCGTCCTCGGCGACCACGTCGAGCACGGCCACCCGTCGGTCTTCGAGCACATGGTCCTGCTGCGGGAGTGCGGCTTCGAGGACGTCGACGTCGCCTGGCGCCGGCGCGACTACTTCGTCGTCGGCGCGCGCGCGCGCCTCCGCGTGGAAATCAACCGGCGAGCTGGGACGTCCCGACCAAACTTTGAAACCGATTCGGCTGATTTTTGGACGAATCGGTTGCTCTCGTCGATTTCTCGTAGCACAACAGAAGTGAAACGGCCTCATACGCGCACAGGGTCAACTTCCCAATAAGGCGTCCGCTAGCACGTAAAGACGTCCCCGGGCGAATCCTACGTCCGCAGAGGGTTCCTAGACGCCGATTTTTGGTACGGTACCGGTTTTGGGCTTCGGGCGGCGCCCCATGCCCGAATCGACCACCGTACTTTTTTTTTTACCCCCGGCGACAGTCTGCGGACGAAAAATACCACGCGAGAGAGCATGGAGCTACCATCTCAGCGCGCTGCGCGCGGTGGACTTGCTGCGCTGCGTGCCTGACCTCACACCCATTCGCGAGGGTCGTTTCTGCGCTCTGGCCAGCGACGAAGTCGAAATTTTCTCCCGCGCGGCGCGCGGGGCGGGTGCGGCGACTCTGTGGCAGCGGCCTCTCGGGCGGCGGCAGCGGCGGCTGCGCGGAGCAGGCTCGTTCTCTGGCGAGGGCGCGACCTCCTGCACGCCGCGCGTGAGCGGCACGTGCAGCTGCGCCGGTTCTGGACCGCTACGCGCACTGGATCCCGCCGAATTTTTCCTCCCGCGCTTCGCGCGGCAAGGAGGCGCTCGAGACCAAAACCGGTGCCTGGGCGCTGCGCGGCTTCATGGAGGTGGTCTAGAACATGTTCGAGGACGCCATGGACTTGGTCTCCGCTATAATCTCCACGCGCGCGCGCGACGACGACGACGACGACGACGACGACGACGACGACGACCGGCCGGCCGGCCGGCCGACCGACCGGCCGGGGCCGGGGCCGACGGCGCAAATGGCGTCCGTCGACGCCTCCGGCTTCGGCCCTGCGTCCCCGGGGTAAGACTAGGCGCCCCCGGCGTCGTAGCGACCGTAAATGCACTTTTCCCGATTAACGACGGGTCTGCCTCGCTTATTGGGAAGTTGACCCCACATTGAAGTCGGCTTGAAGATTTGATTTCCACGCAGGTGCCCCTCGACGACGACGAGCCGCCCTGGCACAACGGCGCGCGGCCGCCGGACGACGTCGCCGGCTGGCGCCGCGACGGCGACGCCGCGTCGGAGGGCGGCATCGAGATGCGCGAGGAGCTCGAGGTCGCCGCGGCGGCGCCCGAGGACACGGCGGGCACGGAACTCGCGGACCTCGGGCCGCCCGCGCCGCGCTCGCCGTCGCGCCCGGGGTCCCCGGCGACGCTCGCCGCGATGAACGCCGCGCGGCTCGCCGAGGAGAGCGAGCGCTAAGAACTTTTTTTTTTTCAAAGAATGCTGTGCATGCGGCTTCTCAGTCGCAATTCCTCTGTTGAAGGCTAAGTTTGACCCACGTTGCCGCGATCCGAAGCGAGCATGTACGCGTTATGCTGCCCAGGGTTGCCGCGAGCTCTGAGAGGAGGCATGATGTACGCGTTCTGCCTCCTCGCAACCGCCGCAGCCTTCCGCGGTCCTGCATCGCAGGTCGCTCCCGCGCGCGCTGCACCGCGTCTGCGCGGCGCCGTCGCTCCCGCGCGCGCTGCACCGCTTCTGCGCGGCGCCGTCGAGGACCACGTGACGCAGCGCGCCGAGGACCTGCTCATGGCCATCGTCAAGGACAAGACGGCCTTGGGCAATGACATCAAGCGCAACAACCAGCGCACGGGCGGGTCCGCGGTGCTCGAGGGCGTCACGCTCGAGCGCTGCGACGCCGACGGCCTCGACATGACCTGCGTCGTCCGGCGGCGCGTCGGCGGCTTCGGCCGCAAGTTCGAGACGGGCGACGAGCGCGCGAACGCGACGTGGGCCGACTTGCTGCCGGACGACGCCGCCGCGGCCTGGGCGGGCGGCGCCGACGCGCAGCGGCGGCTCATGCAGGTCGCCTGCGGTTTAGAATTGCCCGGCGCCGCCGCGCGCCTCCTGGACGGGGCGTTCCCCGGCGGCCTCGGCGACGCCGGGCGCCTGCCCGACAACCTCTGGCTCAACAACATCCCGGCGTCGAAGCTCGCGCGCAGGCACATGAGCGACGCGTGCATCGCCGGCGTCCTCGACGCGCTCGGCGCGCCCGGCGCGCCGAGCACGCTCGCGGTGACGATCAAGCCCCCGGAGCTCGACGTCGAGATGGACACGTACCGCATCGGCACCCTGCTGGAGCTCGTGCGGTCGTTGACCTTCGCCATCATCTCGGAGCGCGGCGAGCGCGTGCGCGTCGCCGTGCAGGCGCCCATGGGCGAGGGCATCTTCGCGGGCATGCCCCTGTCCCTGAACGGCGTGCGCAAGCTCCTCTCGCTCATGGACTGGGGCCCCGACGCGGCCCAGCTCATGGACGACGGCTACGTGCGCTTCGGCGCCGTGTCGGGCCGGCCCGAGGACGTCGACGACAAGGACGACGTCTTCGTCCTCGTCGCGCCGCAGTCCATCGTCGGCAGCTCCATCGTCGAGCCGCTCCGGGACATGGTCGAGGCGGCGGGGCGCCGCAAGGTCATCACGATCAACGCGAATCTCGACGACATCCAGTCGTCCCAGGGGGTCATGTCCTACCGCGGCCGCGGCGAGCGCCTCGCGTTCGAGGACGCGTGGCGCGAGATCTTCCACTTCTCGCTCGTCGTGCCCATCGGGCGCACCTTCTTCCCGATCCTCGGCGCCGTCGTGAGGCCGACGCTGGGCAGCCCCTACGGCCTCTACCAGCGCATGGAGCGCGCGAGCGACCCGCGCGCGACGTTCCGCGACAGCCGCGACCGCGCGAGGGCGGCCGCGGCGGGCGAGCTCACGGAGGTGTACCGGCCCGTGGGCTGCTACGCGGCCATGCCGACGCCCAAGGAGCAGAAGGCGGCCTTCGCCGCGGCGCTCCGGGACGAGTTCGAGCGCGAGGAGGCGCGTAAGAAGGAGGCGTGAGGGGGGAGGTGCGTGGCCCACTGTGGGCCAGTGGCAGTGTAGACACTGTAGTCCTCAGTACCTAGGTACGCCTCTCATTGAGTCTCAAGCACTTGTCGCCGAAACAAATCTCCGCGGTCGCGGTTGAGCTTATCCCCGAAAGCCAATCCTCGTCGGCGCGGCTCATATCGACACTTCCAAACACAATGATCGCCCGAAGGCTCGCGGTTCTCGTCGCCTTGGCGTCGCCGCCTGAATTGTCCGCCTTCTCGCGCATCTACGGCATCTGGCCGGGCGAGGACCACCTGCAGGACTTCTGGGGCCCCGCTCGCCTGGGCTTCGAGGGGAGTTTCGCCTATGAAGCGAGCGTCCTCGCCGCGAGCGACGACGACGTCGCGTCGATCATCGGCGGCATCCTGGGCGCTTCGGGGGACGCGCGCGGCGCGCTCGTCGTCGGGCCCATGCGCCACGGCGAGGCGAGCTACGCGGCGTTCCTCGAGGCCGGCGGCGCGTTCTTCCCCATCGCCGAGGGCGTCGACCTGGCCGCGTACGGCCTGACCAACGAGACGAGCTTCCAGTTCGTCTTCAGCCCGGACCCCATCAACGCCGCGGGGCTCGTGGCCCAGGAGATCTGCCGGACGACGGGCTACGGGGCCATCCACCGCGTCATGCGCCTGTACGGCGCCGCGTACGCGGACTCGCGCGTCGACGCGAACCTGGCGTGGCTCGAGGAGCACTGCGGCACGACGATCTTCGAGCACTCGTCGCTGCGGGCCTACTTCCGCGAGGAGACGGCCTACGACCTGGCCTTCTCCGCACTCGTCAAGGATTCGTCCGCGTCGTTGATCGTCGCCGCGAACGACCGCATGGTCAAGGGCGCGCTCCGGGCCATCGAGGACACGCTGAGCCCCGCGGCGGCGGCGAAGATTTTGATCGCGGGCTTCGACTGGACCGAGGACTGGATGCTCAAGCAGGGGAAGATCGTCGCCGACGGCGACCAGTACATGTCGACGCCGGGCGTGGGCGCGTGGAGGTCCATGAAGCACGTCATCGACGTCGTGCGGTCCAACGGCTACGGCACGACGGCGGACCTGCAGCGCTTCTTCGACGACGGCGCGGCGCAGATCTGGACGGAGACGTCGTGCCAGTACGCGGACACCGAGGGCTACGTCCTCTCTTATTTGCTCAACAACTACGCGCCGAGCGTGCGCGCCAAGCCCGCGTCGGGCGTCGGGCCGACGATCGTCCGCGTCGGCGCGAGCGACATTCACGTCGACGCGGTGGACACGGCCGGCGGCAGCTTCTCCGCGACGGCCTGGATCAACCTCGAGTGGCACGACGCGCGCCTCGCCTTCGACGCGAACATCTACAACGGCACGGTCTACGTCGACGCGACGCGCATCTGGTTTCCGAACATCTACCTCCTCAACCATTTCACGCCGCAACTGCTCTTGTTGATCAAGGTGCTCCCCGCGGCCGTCATGCCGGACGGCACCGTGCGCGCGAGGTTCAAGGCCGCCGGCGAATACGTCTGCGACATGAACATCGCTCCCTACCCCTACGACGACCACGCGTGCGAACTCTCGCTCGTCTCCCCGTCGACGACGAGCGAGCTCAAGCTCGTCGGCGACCTCGGCTACACGATCTTCGGAGGGCCCGAGGGCTTCGAAACCCCGTCGCGCGACGACGTCCGCGAGGGGACGTACGTCGACCAGCGAGGGGAGGGCCACGGCATGGTGGATCTTCCCATCTTGCTCACGCCAGCGTCCTGTGGCCGTGACGATTTTCGAGAGATTCTGGCCGGGAAAACGACGAGAAATCGTTACGGCGGTGACGATTTTCGAGAGATTCTGGCCGGGAAAACGATGAGAAATCGTTACCGACACATTTGGTAGGCTCACGCGGGACCCGCGCTACGTCGTCCTGACCTACGTGCTCGTCGGCTGGGCGCTCAACATGCTGGGCTTCCTCGTGTTCTGGATCCCCACGGAGGGCAGCGGCATCGACCGGTCGGGCCTCGCGATGACGACGATCCTCACGGCGCAGTTCATGATGTACGAAGCCAAGGTCACGCAAGTCAGCACGTGGCTCGACATGTACTTCTCGCAGATGATCGCGTACCAGCTCGTCGCCTTTCTCCTGACGGTCCACAGCGCGCGCAGGAACAGAATGGTGCTCGCGCTCGGCGGCGACGGGGACTACCTGGACAAGGTGTATCGGCGCCAGTACGAGCTCGGCGAGGGATCGGGCGGACACTTCAAGAACGTCGTCTTCTTCCTCTTCAACCTGCTCTTCGGCGGCGGCGACGCCTTCCCCGTGGACCGCTGGGCGCGCCGCTACTTCGTGCCCTTCTTCTTCGTTAGTCAGATCGCGCTTTGCTTCTACCCCTTCAGGAAAAGTGGCAAAATCACGAAGTCGGACTACACGGGCTTCAACTCGCCCCTCTGCCACATCAATCTGGCCTTCGCCGGGATGTACGCGGTCGTCTTCGCGCTCGGGCTGCTGTACCGGAGCTGGGACGACAAGCCCGTGGGATTTTCCGCAGGCTGGCACGAAACTCGGCGCGAGCCGATCACGCCAAAACCCGGCTCGGTCGTCCTAGTCGGCGAGGCGACCGAGGCGCCCGAGGCGACGGGCTCAAGGCCGCGAAACCGGCGACTCTCGTCGGCGACGACGTCGACGTCGACGATGTCGGTGCGTGCGTGGGAATGAAGGCTAGCTTCCAACATCTAAGCCCACACGGATGTAAAGGGCGGCAACATCTAAGCCCACACGGACGCGCACGCGTACGCGCGGGGAGCCCCCGCAGACGCGTGCACGCGTACGGCGTACGCGCAGCCGACTGCAACAAATGTAGATGCAGTCACCGGCTAGGTTCCACTTTACTGCCGTAATTCGCCGGCGAGTGCGAGTTTGCTTGCTTTGCCGGAGTCGTCGCGAGTTTTCCCGTTTGCCGCAACTCGATTTGCCGGCGCCGCTAGTTGCGGGAAACGGCGAGTTTCCGTGGTAAATTGAAGTAAAATTGCACCTCAACTTGAAGTAAACTACGATAAACTGGCTGCCAAGCCCCTAACACAACCAGCGCCGTCCTCGCAGGAGGAACCGTAATATCCGCGCCAATGAAGCAGAGTTGATTTCGGTCGTTCCCGCGAGTCACGCGCGCCGCGTAGTACGCGGGACGCCACGGCTTGAAGGGCCTCTCGGCCGCCGAAAAACCGGCCCGGCAGTAAACTCGCCGGCGGCAAATCACCGTCAAAGTAAAACTCGAAAAACTCGCCCCTGGAGCGGCAAAGTTTTTACGGTAAAGTGGAACCTAGGTCACCGGTGCACTGCTCGAAATTGCCTCGCACGCAGACGCCACACACAACATCTCCGCGACGCGGCGCCAGCGCGCGCGCACCTGCGCCCTTCGGCACGGTCTCCGTCGCCGACGTCTGAAGCGCGCGCCGCCGGCCGCCATGACGGACCAGCTCAACGACGCGGCGCGGCCGCTCATCGACCTCATCGACACGCTGCGGGCCCACGGCGTGCAGCGCGACCTGTGCGGACGCCCGGCGTCCGCGGAACCGGCCGCCCGCGCGCGCGCGACCCCCCCCGTTCGCAGGCCGCTGCCGCAGATCGCCGTCATGGGCGACCAGAGCGCGGGCAAGAGCTCGGTGCTCGAGATGATCAGCGGCGTGCCTTTCCCGCGGGGCAGCGGGCTCGTGACGCGGTGCGCGACGCAGCTCATCATGAAGCGGACCGCGCCCGGGAGCGCCTGGGCGGCGACGGCGTCCGTGTCGTGGTCGCGGCCGCAGCCCGCGGAGTCGGGCCCCGTCGCGGACCCGGCGGCGCTGAGCGTCGCGATCGAGCGGCTCACGGAGGCGCTCTGCGCGGTGACGACCAACGGCTTCTCGACGGAGACCATCGTCATCAACCTGTCGGCGCCGGACGTGCCCGACCTCACGCTGCTGGACCTGCCGGGCATCGTCCGCACGGCCGTCGCCGGGCAGAACGCGGACGTCGTCGGCGACGTCAACGGCCTCATCACGTCCTACCTCGAGCAGGAGCGGACCATCGTGCTCGCCGTCATGCCCGCGAACCAGGACATCGCGACCATCGACATCCTGGAGCGCGCCGCGGTCGCGGACCCCGGCGGCATGCGGACGCTCGCGGTCCTCACGAAGCCCGATTTGGTCGACGACGGCGCGGAGGACGAGGTCAAGGAGTGCCTCATGAACCGGCGCAAGCCTTTACGGTTGGGCTTCGCCATGGTCAAGTGCCGCACGCAGCGCGAGCTCGACGGGCGCATCTCGCTGTCTAAGGCGCTCGTCGTCGAGCGCGAGTTCTTCGAGGCGCACCCCTACTGGTCCGCGGCCGTCCACGCCGACGAGCGCAAGAAGCTCATGGGCGTCCAGGCGCTCACGGGCCGCCTGTCGTCGCTGCTCGTGGAGCGCATCAAGGTCGCGCTGCCGGAGATCAAGTACGAGCTCCAGCAGCAGAGGCTCGTCGCCGTCGCCGAGTTCGAGCGCCTCGGCGGCGACAGCGCTTTGGACGGGCGCAACGCCATGCGCGCGGAGCTCGTCAAGGTCGTCGCGGAGTACGCGACGCTCCTGCGCCAGTCCGCGCGCGGCAACTACGGCAACCTGACGCTCGCGCGGCAGCCGGAGCTCCGGCTCTTCGGCGAGGGCCAGGAGATCTTCAAGTCCCTCAAGCTCGCCGTCCAGGGCACGCAGCCCCAGTTCGACAACCGGGCCTTCACGGAGCGCCTCGCGGCGGAGATGCACGCGTTCCGCGGCCGCGAGCTGCCCGGCTTCACGAACAGCCAGGTCTTCTACGGCTTCATGGTCCAGAACATCGAGGAGTGGCGGCCCTACGTCGAGGAGTGCCGCCAGGCCTACGTCGCCGCGGCGGCCAAGGTCTCGGACGCGCTCCTCTACGCTCTGGCGCCCACGTACCCCATGCTCGTGTCCGAGCTCCGGCAGCGCGCGAGCGACATCACGGACGCGCGGGGCGACGACGTCCGGCAGAAGCTGGACGTGGTCTTCGCCAAGGAGAGCGACCCCTACACGACGAACGAGTCCATGCTCGAGCTCATCAACCAGATCCGCCTCAAGAACTTCGACGTCGCGCTCCAGTCCGTGCTCAACTCCGTGCCGCCGGGGTCGCTGCTCTCGAGCGACAAGAACGTCACGGAGCTGGCCAAGGCCCACGTCAAGCGCCAGCTCGGCAAGTGGTACATGCAGACCCACGGCGTCAACACGACGTCGAAGGTCGAGGACATGTGCACGCTGCTGGAGGCCTACTGGGACGTCGCGACGAAGCGTTTGGTCGACAACGTGTGCATGACGCTCGAGCACGACTTCACGAACGCCATCCTCAAGCAGCTCGAGGAGGCCTGCTTCATGTTCGCCGCGGAGATGAGCCTCGACGACAAGGAGACGGAGCTCGCGCGCCTCTTCCTCGAGGACCCGCAGCTCCTCGAGCAGCGCGCGGCCGCGCGCGACAAGCGCGACCGCATGACCAAGGCCCTCGCGTCCCTGAGCGAGAGCGGCTTCAACGTCGTCGCGGCCAAGCCCCAGACGGAGGAGGAGCAGGCGCCCTCCGCCATCGCCGCGGGCTTCGTCACGAAGGACCAGGAGGCCGCGAACGACAAGCTCCTCAAGCGCGCGGCGCCGCGGCCGACGCCGCCGCCGCCGCCTCCGAAGCCCGCGGCGCCGCGCGCCGCCGCGCCGCCGCCG